AAGAACTGATTGGTGGATAAAACCCCTCTGGGATGGCTTGCGGACCCTGCCTGGCTCCATGCTGTCTCCAGCGCTTCTCGCGCGCGTGCGTCACTGGGTGGGGCTGCCTGCAACAGGTTCCATGCTAAGCGGATTGGATTCAGTGGGCTACAGTTCGACGGAAGTCATTTAAGGTTATCTCCCTTTATACGTTTCTATATAATATATTATATTATATATATAGTATATATTATATATACTAATATAGTATATAGTGTATATATAGTATATATTTTATATATATAGTATATATATTATATATAGTATATATTATATATATTATATATATAGTATAATAATATATTATATTGTATATATTATATTGTAAATATTATATTACATTATATATATATTACATAATATATATTATATTATATATATTACATTATATATATGATATTATATATATATTATATAATATATGATATTATATATATTATATAATATATGATATTATATATATCATATTATATATATATCATATTATATATATATCATATTATATATATCATATTATATATATATATATCATATTATATATATATCATATGATATATATATAAATCATATTATATATATATTCTATTTTTTATATTACATTACATATATATATTGTATTATATATATACATTATATAACATATTATATTAAATATATTATATTATAAATTATATCATTTATATTATCATATATATTATAATATATAGATATATTATATATATATTATATATATATATTATATATATATTATATATATTATATATATATATATTATATTATATTAAATATATATTATTGTATGTATTATATTATATATATTATATTTTAAATATTATATTTCATATATTATACTATATATATTATTACATACATTATATAATATATATATATTAAATTATATATTTTTATATTATATATATTATATCATAAATATATTGTATCATATGTATATATATATATATGATATCATATATATATATTATAATATCATATTTATATTATACTATATATGTATTATATCAAATATATATATATATTATATAATATATATATTAATATTATAATATCATATTTATATTATACTATATATGTATTATATCATATATATATATTATAATATATATATTATATTATATTATATATATTACATTATATTATATTGTATTATATTATATTATATTGTATTATATTATATTTAATCATATATATATTATATTATATCTATATTCTATTATATCATATATATTATATTATATGTATATTATATTATATTGTATTATATTATATTATATTGTATTATATTATATTTAATCATATATATATATTATATTATATCTATATTCTATTATATCATATATATTATATTATGTATATTATATTATATCATATGTATATTATATTATATCATATATATATTATATTATATCTACTGTATATTATATCATATATATATATACTATATCATATATATATATATCTATACCCCATGGGTAGATGATGATTTTTCCCGCGCAGCCCCCGCAAACTACGCCTGTGCTCCGTTGGTTTCTGGAGCCGAAAGGCTCAGATTTGGCAGCAAAGCACCTCGGAATTGTCGGGAAGAGGTTAAAGGATGATTGGACATTGATTGGATGGATTATATAATTAATCATCCTTGAAGATGACTATTGATGAGTATTGACAATGCTGATTTGTGACGATCTTATATTCACTAATTGATGATTATTGACCATGTCTTAATTAAGTGGATTCATCATAAAGTGGATTCATCGTTCAAACCTCTCAGAGGATCATGAAGGGGATTATCTGAGGATGGATATGGATGGATGATATACTAAATGACTTGAAGAATATTTGAAATTTGCTTAAATGTGGGATAGGGAAAGGATCTCAACCGGTTTAAGCGGAGATCTGATCTGATTACTGGAATTCATGAGGAGAATTGATGGTAAAATGTGTGGTGAAAAAAACTCCAAAAACTACTGATTCATTGAAAGCTGGGGATCTAGGCATAGGTCAGATGTGAATGGATACGATGTAAACCCCTAGCCTGCAACTACAGCAAACTTTCATTGGGATTTCAACAACTGGCATGAGGATATGGAACCAAATGACGACTGACCCACAAAAAACAATACAACATAATACAACAGTCATGGCTCAAGATTGCACTCAGACTCGGTTGAATTGACATGAATAGTGCCACATTCCACTGTTGCTTCATGTTGATTTGGCACATTTCCATCGGTGGAAAAGTTCATGTGGCAAATCCCTGCTGGTTGGCCAAATCCATCTTGATGATCCAGGACATGCACAACCACCATGGCAAGTCACCTGATTGGCTGAACCACATGGATCGACAATTCCATACCCCAAAGAAATGCAGTCGTGCCCCATTTTGGGTAGAAGAAAGACTTTCGCAGATGGTGGTAGTCCCTCATTGCGGCGAGATTCCATGTACTGGGAATCTACTGCCACGAAAACTAACCTGAAATTGCCAAGAAAATGGTGTGGAATGAGATTTTCACACTGAAAATCACCATGTTTGGGGTTTCCACTTTTCAATTTCAGTGTAAAACCCTTCAATGGCCAACCACCAGCTCCCTCGCCCAACAAGATCAGCAAGGCGCCCAAGACTGTGACCAGCAGCAGAACCAACCTCGGTTGAGACATGATGGAATCTCTTGGGTTCAAGAGGCATCACTGGACCCAGTGCAATGGTTGATATTTCGAGTAAACCATGAGTTTTGGGGGTGCCAATTTTGACAAAAATACCCATTTTGTGTCAAATGTTTCTGATATCTTAAAGGAACCACACAGGTTTGGGGGAGGTTATGTACAGTAATCGTTTTGAACCACTCACCTTTGAGTCATACACCGGCCAGGAAAAGCGGTGTGTGTGGTATATAAAAATGCATACAAATGCGCCAACAATGACCCTTGGTATCATAAAGTGCTTTAAAACCGGAGAGTCACAAAGACAACAAAAATGTTCTTCTCTCCACAGGTTTGATGACCAATGTGTGGGAGAAGTGGGTTGGTTTGCACGTTAAAGCTGAAAATTTCAAAGCACAAACATTCGCAGAAAATGGTGGGCTACATGCAGATCCCCATCCCAATCTTGGTCTGTTTGCTGGTTTCGAACTGAAAAAATGCTGAACCGTTGGAATTAACAAGACCAATTGCAGCTGAAGCCTTTTGGTCAAGTGACCAGTGCCCCAAAAACTAGTCATAAGCATCCCCATCATTTCAATATTTTGAATATATATATATAATATATGATTACATATGTATATACACCGATTCCCATCAAATCAGGCTTCCCTGAGGGTGCGACCCACCCAGTCGCGCGGGGCTCGAGCCCCTTCTGAAGCCGCCTGGCGCGTTGCAAAACTTGAAAAATAGGTCAAAGGCTAGTCACATCGATTTGCCGCAAACATGTAAGCAAAAAAAACACAAGGTGCCCACATTTACTATTGGGGTCCTTGTGTGCCACTATTGGACGGACTCAACTGTTGTTTCAATACTTTGCTGTATGCTTATGTAGGCTTGTTGATTTGAATTCCAGCAACTTGACTTTCACATTTCGGGGCAAATCTAAAGTTTGTATATCAAGGGGTTCGTAACCCAAATTTGCTCCCAAAATTAATCAAGTCAGAACTCGTGAATCAAACTAGTTGAACTAAATCATACTAAATCCATCCTTTTTAGGAATTTGTTCTTGGCCCCTCTAATCATCCATCTTTTCCCGTTACGATCTCCCACGCCTCGCTCCATCACCCGCGGTGATGTCGGCGGGCTGCAGCTGTTTGGTTCCGCTGAGCAACGCAGGACACCAATCAAAGGAATACGCAATCTATCTATCCATATCTATCAATCATGTCTTCACCAATAGATTCAATAGATCGCAGGACACCAATTACCGTAATTAATTTGTTTATTTGTTCTATCTATCAATCTCTCAGCTACATCCGCACGGGGAACATCCGGAAAATCGACCGTTCAACCAGCATGGAGGTGCACCTCCGCACGGAGAACAGAACCAACAACTGGTGTCTTGTTGTCAACGCTCTTGTTCTATGATGTTCTATGTTGTTGCTATTGTTATCAGCTTTGGTTTGTTCTGCAGTTTGTTCTCAGGATCAGGGTTTATTTATACGTACTATAAGTATTATCATGTGTTTCCTAACATGGGGGTACTCAAAAATGGATGGTTTATAATTTATAATGGAAATTCGTATAGAAATGGATGATTTGGAGGTACCCATCAAATTAGGAAACCTCCATGTGTACAAATCACATATTCAATCAGCAACTGGAATGCCAAAACATCACCACGGGCTTGGGTCCTTATGGTTCACACATCTGTTCTTAATGATTTGAACCCAGGCTTCCAAACAGGTTCTGACCCATCCCCATACTAAAATTACTAAATGAAGAATGAAGAAACGAACACTCAACAATCATCAACAATCGACATAAATACAGCAGATATATTCAAGATGAGGCAAGTGTGTATGTGTGTGTGTGTCGACTCTTCCTGTTCAGGATTTACTCCGTGGCACGTCCCAGGAGGCCCCTTCCCGTCGCATATTTCAACGCTGTGTGCAGTGCGAAATTCACTGGCATGAATTCACTAGCTTTTTCTGTACAGAGCAGGTGCAAACTGAAGATTGATCGATCGCCATTCTGCATGAGAGGCTTTGCTGTTTTTGTTGCCTTTTTGATGCTGCTCCTGTTGTGCATTTCTGCAAATGCCTTGGATCTGTCGATGAGTGTTGTCTTGTCGCCCCATTAATATATTAGCATTGTGTGGTGTCTTCTACCCCCAAACCTTTTTTTGCTGCTTTAGTTATTTTAAACCACTTTTTTGGGACTGGATTTGACCTCCACATCTTCCGCGCCGTCGCAGTGGACCCCAGTTTCGGGCCCAGTGACGGACACGACACGTCGGACACGTCTCACTGCCGCACCGGCGATGGAGCGCGGCTCGGCGCCATCGACTCGGCCCTTGGCACCATGTGAATTGAGATATGGTTGGCACCATGATCCACCCAAAGGTTGGCAGAGTTACCTCGCCTAATCAATAGAAATGAATTGTTTGGTATCTTTTAGTGGGGTTCCACTCCGGGTTCAACCGGTTCAACCAACAGGAAATAAATTTAGTAGTGTGTAAGCAACAAACATACAGTTGTTGTTTCATATAACAAACATGAGCAAAGATAGGGGAGGTAAACAACAAACACTCAGATCGTTGAGGGCTTAGCAGTTCCGTGTCAATAACGGGCCCATAAGTATCACAATGATTGACTCCCGGGCCAACATTTAGGCACTCTCAGGGACCATGAGGTCGTTGATTGGTTGTAAACAAAATGACTTGGATTCATATGAACCCATACTGATCCCCATTGAAAATTATCATACGAACTTGATACATGGCTCATGAAAAAGGGAGCATCCATGAACCCGCCAAATTGGTCATTTTATACTAAACCGTCCAATTTCGAGACTTCATATCAGCCATAGTGAGATACCCACATCGGATACCCAAATCACATACCCATATCATATCCCTATACCATATCCCCACATAGCAAAATCTGTTTTCATATGTTTTCATACATCTATGTTGGGCTTCAGTATCATTAGACTTGATATTCAAATATATTCAACTTTACATGATCTTTTTTTTTCGCTTGCAAAGGATCGAATGGTTCCGGTTTTTCATGGTTTTTCATGGTTTTTCCAATGGGTTTTTCCCAAAAAAAACTTGGGGCGACCGACGAAGCAAAGGCCGTCGGCGCCACCAACTGGGCTCCAGAAGCGGCACCAGGCTGCCTTAGGCAACGTCTGGCTGCCATAACGTGGCTATGGTGGAAAGGCTGCAATAAGAACGATGCAATGGTAATAGATGGTAATAGTAATGATGACAATAATAGTGGTAACAATAATATATTTCACAATTATATAATAAACATTGTGGCTGATATAATCATAATCATAATGATAATAATATGCTGATCATGATGATGATGGTGATGGTGATGATGATGATGGTATAATGTAGAATATATATATATATATGATATATGCCATAAGCTATATGGATAACTCTTTGTGGTTTCCATATCTAATATCCAATGGCTATATGGATATATCTATAATAGTATACTCATAACTGACTTTGACAAATAACCTATATAATATATCCATGTTCTTGATATGTTTTGAAAAACCAAAATATATCGATCAACTGTTGACAATATATCCCATTCAAGTATGTTCAAGCATACTGGCAATCCAATGCTTCATAGCTTCAATGGGGAGTCCCAGTTTTTGGATTGTGACAATCCCCATATAATGGTATTATATAGTCGATAGCATAATCACCTGCAATCAGAATCAACCAAGATGGGTATTTTTCACACTGCTCAAATGATCATATGACTACCATCTACTACTCAGAAAAAGGCGGCAAAACCACCATCAATTTTTTAATGGATGTTTCGCCTTTTTTTCCCTATGACAAGTAATCTTCGACCCATAAGTGCACCATACATCCGGTCCAAATGTAATTTATAAACATGTAACATACAAGTCTACTAGAAGAAGTTTAATGGAATTTGGAATCTATTCATTGAATTGAGACCATCAATCAATGGTTAATACATATTGCTAATTAAGTATCAAGGGGCCATGTATGATCCTGATGTGGATGTTCTCACACTTTGATGGCCATAAATTGGGGCATCCCCCATGGCTGATATGGCTGAAACATCTTCGTGTTCCTCATGAACATGGACTTGGAATAGCCAATTCGGAATAAGTCTGAAATCAATGGATTGGTCTTAAGGGAAATCAGTTTAGAGGAAACCATATGTTTGAGCATGAAAATTGTTGTGATTCAACCATAAATGTTCCCAGTTGTGATATAAGTTATTCTGGAGGATCCAATGAAAAAAGTGTTCTTCCAAACTCTTAAACCATGAGATGTTTAATCTTATGGGTTCCTATAAATCCATATAGTAGAAATCGCTTGAATGGTAGTAACCATGAAGTTACCAAGCAACGATGGATACAATCCCTCCGCCAAACCACACTAGCTTCAACCAGGGATTCTGGCTGCGTGTTCTTCACTTAGGGTGAAGGGATCAAAATGGTCAAATCACCATTAACTTTTTCGAGTTCTTGGCGCGCCACCAACAAAGCAATTGACTGATGTTGACTGTTCATTTGATTCCATGATCTACTTTGAACAATCACAGGACACATTCGGAATACTAGGACACTGCAAGGCAGTTACAACATGTTACAAATACCATCCAGAACGCGCAGCGCTGTTGTACCATGGTGCCAACAGGTGCCAACTGACCACTGGGATACCACTGGGACTCCGGACCCAAAGGTGGCTGGCACTGAGCCGAAATTGTACCTGCGAGACCCCCGCTCGACTTTGTTGGAGACTTTGTTGCCCCATTTTTTCAGCATACCAGGTGCTAAAAACATCTAAAAACATCACTGATTAAAATCCCCATCAAGATCGTAAAAAACCTATAATCCTATAATCCGTGATGAAACGCAGCTGTTGACATGTGGCTCGAGGGGAGGATTTTTCGCAGTTTCTAAAACTTATTGTGACTATTTGATGACATTTGCAGATTGGTTGATCAAATTTAAGAACCCCATCCATGACCAGCCAAGAATTACATCTCGAATCATCACCAAGGTCATATTTCAGGATATAAATCATGGAAATCGAAGACCGAAAAGTCATCTACATCAGTCATCTTCATCATGGGTTTGACATTTCCATCCTTTTGGGGGTCATATTTCAGGTTGCTCTACCCGAGTGGAAAAAACCATGCCAGGACACTGGTCTCCAAAGTTGCCAGTCGTGTCGGTCTGGCGTGTGGTGATGGGGATGTCTGTCTTGGGAGTCGGTGGTTTCAAACCTTCCCAAACTTTTAGTCATTGGCAGGATCATCAGCCCAAAATATCCAAAGTATCCCAAATATGGTCGAAAATCAAGATGTTTTTTGAAACCACCAATCAGATCCTGTTGATTTTCAATGAGATTGGATCATGTTGGGGGATTTTGGTGGGATGTTTTCGGGCGCACATGATTTTCTAGATGCTGGTTCTACACCTTTACGGTTCACTGTGGATAAAAATTGTGATGCCTTCGGTTTCATATTCCTAGAACCGAACATATAACATACCGAAGAACCTGCCATTGTTGCCCGTGCAAGTACCATACCCATTAAATGCCAAACTGCCCGCCTTTGAAAAGTGCTGATTGGATTTGAACTCCGAATACAAGGTGAAGATCACATGCAACGTCTCGGTGATCTGGTTGTAAACCTGCAGTGGCACGGCGTGAAAACGGGTCAGGAGTTTCGGAGTTTCCCACGGTATCTTCGGGTAAGACATACAAAAATCGAGTTGTTTCCGAACATCTGGTTTTGCCTTAAATATATAAATATATTAATTACCTAAAAATCCCATGGATGATGAATCCCATTAAAGTGGCAAAATTCTTTATCATATCTATATTATGTATATAATATTATATTATATATTATGTATATATACGTATATTTATATATGATATATGTATATACACAGTGTCCCAGTTTTTGACAAATCCATAAAACCGCCTTGGTACATCCAAACCTGGCTCGTGGGTCGTGCAGCTAGTTACTCGCTGATGCAACTGGTTGGTCAAAGAACAACGCCTCGAAGTTGGAGTCTGCTTACAGTAACTCATCTTACCCTCTGGTAATGACTAACATAGCTATTGAAAATGGCCATTTATAGTGGATTTACCCATCAAGAATGGTGATGTTCCATAGTTATGTTAGTTTACCAGAGGGTAGCTCCAGGAAATTTGAAGAATTCGACTGAAATGCCTCCACCATACAATTCTGATCAACTGCAAATAGTATGACTGAGTCTATGTCCGAAATATCTGCAGTATATATATCTTCTGTACATAGGAATGGTATGGAATTGTATATTTGGATATATTTGGCCATGCCCATTGGGTAACCCCCAAATCCACCAGTTCTTGCTCTGTAGCAGAACAACATCCGCCAGGCAATTCTGGGCTTCCCTGACGGGTACATCCAGTATCGAGGCGAACACCTTCACATAGCTAGGTAGATCCAGCCTGAGAATCGTGCACGCATTTTTCAACGTCTAATGGCCTAATGTCTAGCATTTCTTGTGGCTCCAGGCATTTTGACCCATTTTGACCCATTTTGAAGACGCTTACTGGCTTACTCAGAACTTATGCCACCATTGTCGATAGTTCAACCACCATTGTTTGATGGTTAAACATGGTTAAACATGTTGGATCATTTTGGATGGTTAACCCCCATGTTTGGGACCCATTGGTTCACCTCAGGTGACGCACATTCTGAGGTTAAAACTCCAGGTCCGCCAGATCGGGCAAAGGATTGTTCTGCAGAAACTCCTGCGGTCGATATCACGACCTGGTCCCGTTGGGGATGGTCCAATCGTCATGCAATGTAATTTTGAAGCGTTGGCCTATAATGCCTATACCCAAATAAGGATGTTGATATTCTTCAATCGAAGTACGCTTGAAGTGTGCTGAAGTGAATCTTTTTGAGCATCGAAAACTGTCAATGGCACGGCGCTCCTCAAATTCACCGGGCCACACCTGCATCAGCTGCTCAATATCTGGCATCCTGCGGGCTGTCGGTGAGCCCCTGAAACGTGGATGTCATGCACCATCAAAATGGATGTTTTAACCCTCAAAAATGGTGGTTAACATATATAGTTTTGCCATCAAACATGGGGTTCTAACATTAAGCATCTGGTTGATTGGGATGGAAACTTGCTGATGATGGAAACTTGATGATGGTGATGGTGATGATGATGATGATGGTGGTGGTGATGATGAATCATATGCAGCATCAATAGCTGGGATGAACATTGAGAAAAACTCACAAACGGCAATCAGGCCGCGATACTCATCAAATGGGCAGCATCAAAAGTACAGGTACCACTCTGGTACTACCATGTCGCAGAGATTCGACAGTCCATGGATATGGATCAAACTTAGGTACCCCCAAACATGAAATTATAAACATGTTGCTTTTGACTACTACAAATCACAAGACTCATCCTTCAAAAAACACCAACAATGCTTTCAATCGCTTTTGGAGTTTGAACCTAGGGTACCCCATTCCATCCTCCCCTTCATCATCTGGAACCGCACCGCGGAGCTGCTGGGGTCGCGTCCTCTTTTGGTACTGCACCGTGGGCGCTGGCTTTGTTCGATTGAGGTTATCAATCCGCTTCACCTTGGCGGAATGGTGAAAACCCAACTTCAGGGTGTCACATTTCGGGGTTGAAAATGATGACCCACCGGTGTGTTTCGAGGTAGCCATGGGTGCATATTTCTTTACCACCAATCCAGCCCTATGGATCTCTACTGCTTGACTGGCAATCTGTGGCCCATGGAAATGCCTGAGCTGCAGGCCCAATTGTCAATCTCCTTGGGATTCTTCTCAGCATTTTCAATCGACCGCACCTGAAGCTGAGTTGCAGTGGTTCACTACCAAGTGCCACCCAAAAACTCAAAATTTCGGAACACTTGGAAAATCCTCCCTCCAGATCCATGGATTCAGGTCCTTCATGAATTTTCATTTTTGGGGGTCGCAAAAAATGCGCATCTGCGTCCCAGCAGCCCCTTTTGGCACCTCCATGGGTTGAAGGTCTTGATTCTTACTGAGAGACCGAAGCTGGAGGTCTAAAATCGATGGATCCGAGGGATTCCTCAGGGCGGAGTCAGCACTACAAAAAAGGGGCCATGGCATGGGTCAAATTCATCCAAAGTTTTGAAACAAATGGCAGAGTTTCTTCTTGGGAAATCCGCTTGGCAACATATTTATACAATATACATATGTGTATATATATATATTATATTATATATATATAAGAATCAAAATTAGGCTATGGGGACCCAATGGATCTTGATTGCCGCTTGGGATTCTCCTTGTCCACCAAGATCCACCTTGCTCTGTGTCACAAGGATCTTTCATGAGTTTGAGGCTCTTCGAGACGGAACGGAACGCGCACAGAAACCACTGTGGTGAACAAATGTGGTGTTGTATAGGGATCTACACTCATCTTTTCGATTGTACCGTATTGTACAATTTGCAATGCAACTGCTTCTCAGCACACCCCAAATCAATGTGTTCGACCAGTGTAGAAGCCATGGCAGGCTTCCAACACTATCGCAGCTTGGGTAAGACTCAACCATGAAAGCACCAATGGTTCGACTTAAATGGTCTTCCTGCAATTTTCATCCGATATGGAGGGTCACTTATATATGTCATATATAATTCTGCATATCACATATATAGACTCTACATATATATTATATCATATATGGATTCATATCACGTTCCTGACATAGAAGTTCATCTCGGCTGGTGTTATATTCTTCCATAGACCCTGATGCAACCTCTACTTCTCTCTGGCTTGGTGGCGTCTCGGGACATGCGCGACTCGTTTCCTGTGAAAAGAACTTGTTTTTGGACCATCCAGTCTGGGTTTTTCCAAGAGTTTTGGGCAACTAATCATTATTAAGCCATTATTAAGCCATCATTAAGCCATTGTTAACCATTCTTAACCATTATTAAGCCATCATTAAGCGATTATTAACCATTATTAACCATTATTAAGCCATCATTGAACCATTCTTAACCATTTTTACGCCATCATTAAGTGATTGTTAACCATTGATCATTTGCTGCCGGTCCATCATCATCTGGGCTTTCCAGCAGGGTGGGCTCATCTAAGCGTGTCGTGCCCAATCCACTGGCTTCATCATCTGGTCGTGGCATCTTGAGAAAGGCATCCACCTGCGGTCAGCCGGTAGATTCGTTTGTCAAAGGATTGGTTTAAGGGGAAATCTAAAAAAATCTAAAAGCCCCATGGTTCATGGGAAAGAAAATATCACATGGCAGTGTGTCAAAACCTTGTACCCCTGGTGAACATCAAAATAGCTGGTAAATGGATGTTCATCCCCCTAAAAATGGTACTAATAGGTATTGATCCATACCCACAGGTTTCCTGTAGATGGTTCCCTTCCACCAGTCCATTGAGTCAGATTTCGGATGCTTCGCCTCCCCAATGCTGGGAATCAGCTCTGGAATGAAAGGCTTCAGCACTGTGTCCAGCTCTATGGTATGTGGCTTGTACCTCCAGCTCCAGGAGATGAAATGTTGGTTAAAACTGTAGAGAAAAAATGAGAAAAAGAGAGTTGAACCCCAAGAATCCTCCAGGCTTCCCACTTGGAATGAGCTTACAAATCAGTTCGGAACCAGCTGAGTTCAGGGAAGATCCGAGTGATTTTGACTGCGTGATACTGCGTGATTTCATGTAGGGATGTCTTCGGAAAAGGATTTGGTCATGGCTAAAATTTGGCGGTCCACAAGAACAAACACCGAGCTGGCCTTTTTGATCCTTTTTGTACTTTGCCACTTTGGAGACTTTTTTTTTGTTGTTCCACCAGTGCATAATTGTCATCGTTGATGTCGAGATTCCAGCCACAATTTATTTGCGCATTGACCAAATGTCACCCATGAAGATCTTCCATCCCCAAGAAGATCAACCAGCACCTGGTGATGCAGTTGAAGAGCTCCTCAATTTCAGAGGAGACCTTCATATTTTTGAAGTCCTCCGGATTGTACCTGGGCCCGAAAAAGTGGGCACTGGATGGGAAAAAAAGAAACGAAACGATATTCACAGTGGGAACGTATCATCATCGTTTCATGGATGGGGCCAACCCCTGTGATCGTATACATGTATACATGTGTATAAATAATATATATATATATATATTAATTACCATCTGTAACGCTGCTGTAGTAAATAGATATCTGTCAAATGGTCAAACAGCTCGCCTTTTCGACGTTTTCCAATATTTTTTCGTACCATCCACACAGTGTAGCTAACATCCTCAAAGCAGTTGTCCAGCAAGTCAGAGCACCATTGAAAGATTCTGGATGATTTGAATTTTAAGTCATATCAGCAGCATATATATATAATATATATATATATAATATATATATAATATATAATATATATATAATATATAATATATATATATATCTACCTCCAATTTGCTATATCCTCCCTCTTTTTAATTGATCACATCATGTCCTCCCCTTTTTCGGCTGACAACATCTCCAGTTTCTAGTGATTCTATCCACATCCTCAGTTTTATACATGTCATTGGGTATGAAAGATCATTGAGTATGGACGCACTATGTGCGTTTGTTTCAACGTAATTCTTAATTGGACCCCCAAAACAAATGGTTTACAATAAACACTATTTGGTAGTATTTGGTACTATTTGGTTTGTTCCAAACAAAGTTTGTCTATATGGTACTCCTGTTTTGAGCCAAACCCCAATTAAAAACCCTCCTTCTCTTGTTGGATCACCCTGCTTTCTGGAATATCTCACAATCTATGGCCATGTTTGCTGGTTGGACCATGTTAAAGTCCTTTTTTCGGAGCATGGCATTGTTGGATTATAGTCCAAAAGTAGTATTACAGAATATATATATATCTTCCATATAATTACAGTACATATATATATATATTCCCAGGTGGTTGCTCCCCATTATGTCGCAAGATATCCCAAACCACCCCAAGTGGTTCCGACCCAAAACCCTATAGGTGCCCCCGACGCTCCCGCGGGTAACCCCGAGGACTTCTTTCCATCCTCAACGAAAGATGACCAGACTGAGGGACTGACCATTTCAACAAGGGGCCAAGAAAAAAGGGATCTAATAGGGTATTTAAGAGGTGGTTAATAGGGTTTAATGGTATTTAATGATGGTATTTGTTTGAAAAGCACCATTTTCATATGTTCATTTCATTTTCTGATGGGATTGTCCGTTAAAAACTCCATTGTTTGGGGGGTTTAATGGTAGTTAAGAGGGGGTTTTCATGGAGAAATTCATGGGACTGGCTTGATGATTTCACCCAGCAAATGTGGCTGATAAATATGATATGAATGATTATGAATGGTACCCTCTGGTAAACCAACATAGCTATTGAAAATGGCCATTTATAGTGGATTTTCCCATTAAAAATGGTGATTTTCCATAGCTATGTTAAATTACCAGAGGGTATCTTCACAGGATATGACTGATGAGATATTTTTCATCAGATATCAATGGATTCTACCATCCACCCAAAGCAACATAAACCCAATGGCCATTTCAGTATTCCAACCCGCCCAACGGGCAGGGTCTTTCTGCGGATTTCTCTGGACAATTCATTAGACACTCACAACAACCTCAGCATAGATAATGATAGGTCCAACAAATTCAAACATGACCTATTTATTGTTTGTCATTGATACCAAGTTGATGCCAAGTTGCCCAGATATGGTTGAGAATCTGTGGTACTCTGGGGTAGTCACACCAAAACAGTTGGTTGTTAATGCATGTTGATCCAGTCATTTCAACGGTCCATTCAATAGGCATTGACCCATCCGCGTGTCAAACCATTGCTCTCAGTTCAAACCCAATCGCCCTCATCGATTGCACTCCTATCTTTGTCGATTCAACCCATTGAAACACCCATTTCTGGTGAGGAAAAAGCACCAAAAACATCCAAAAACAACCCGCAGCTTCGACACAGAAAGTCTGTGGGCCTCTCCATCAGAGGACTCAGAGGTAGAGCCCTGCAGCAATGAATCGCCCATGATTTATTGTGGGCCACAGGATGCCACAGGTTTGTCAGAAGATGTCAGAAGTGCTTTGAATCGTTCATCGATCTCTCTTTCGAAACCCCGAAACCCAAGCACGTCAACAGGAACATCCATAAAAACCGTCAACCAGGGTTTGTCTGAAAAACTGGAGTACAGTACCCCAAAAGACTACCCTCAAAAATGGTCCGACATCGGGTGTCAGCCGTGTCAGCGATTTTTTGACACCCACATATCATGGTTGTTGGCCATATCCCAACAAAAATCCCAATATAAGACCTAAATATCATATTGTTACATCACATGACATCTCCATTACGGGTAATGGGTGTCGTAATGGGATATAACAGTACGATATTTCATGGAATATCTATAAATGTATACCACATTATCCCATATTATGGGAGATATTCCAGGTTTAATTTATACCTGTATCCCCATTAAGACCAGCCATGACCAACCTATAGACCAGGGGAAACCACCACAGCCTCACTACTGGATTCGCCGCTACTCTCCTCTCCTTTTTGAGCGGCATCAGTGAGTGCAACGTCTCCCATGTTGGTGGGTTTGATTCCAAAGATCCGTAGATATTATTGGATTGGTTGAAGGGTAAATCTACAAGAAACCCCTATAATTGGTGGTGAAAACCATGGTTTCCCGTAGATTTTCCCTTTAACCAATCCATTGAACATATGGATTTTTCCTTAAATGGGGTTACCCGCAATTCATCCAAGTTATTGGTTGTTATCAATGGGAAAACTACTGCTTTGGGGCTACCCAAATTTCAGGAAACCTCCATACTATGGCTTTGTCTGAAAAGCTTCTCTGAAAAGAGACACCCCTCTAAATCTACTGGTTCATCATCAGTTTCCCCATGAAAATAACATAAAATCACCGTAAATTGCAGGGTCAATCCCCCATCTTTGCCCACATCTAGTCACTATAAGGACCATCCCGCAGCCATCTATACCATTTTCTGGTGAATTGTCCAGCCAAGTCAGATTGCTGAGGGTAATTCACTTTCTGAATTGGAGGTAAGTATTTGAACCGATGTTCTTTACTGTAAGCAACATCCATCAAGGATTTGAACATTCCCTGACTTTTTCGGACAATCATAGAATTCCGCTGTGGATCATCATTTCACCATTTCACCCCCCAAGCTGCATGTTTGATCAAAAAATATGGCAGAGTATCGGATCTCGAGGTCTTGAATCTCAAAGCATACCTGTGCAAACCCCACCCATACTCTTTCAAGACTCGTTTCAACATTTCCAAACCGTTATGTAAGGTTTATTGAGACTGTCACATTCACTATGATCAAACTCCCGCAAATGTGGAAGTGCGTTCAAATCACCATGACCATCATCAGCGCATTGTATACCATTTATTGGCTATATCATCCTAAGAGTATATCATCATAAATTGACTTTGTATGACTATATCATCATTTATTCACTAAATATGCATGACCATATAATAATGTGGTGGCTATATATGACTATATAATCATTTATTGAATGTTTCATCATGTTTAATGGTTACACCGGTTACACCCCCATCATCCCTCATCAAAAATCGGGATGTTTGGCGTCCTCTCTTGGTAGTCCCTGCGGCCGGGGGCTGCTTCGGCGTCCCGGCCTGGCAGGAATCAATAGACCTGGCTGACCTGGCTGAAGAAACTAATGTTTTATCCTCAGGGTCAAGTTGGGGAAGTTCCCCAACCCCATCCCCATCCCTATCCCAATCCCCATCCCCAACCCAACTCTACCCCCATCCCCATCCCCATCCCCAACCCCCCCATCCCCAACTCTAAACCCCCATCCCATCCCAACTAACCCCCATCCCCATCCCCAACCCCCATCCCCATCCCCAACCCCATCCCAACTCTACCCCAACCCCATCCCCATCCCCATCCCACCCCACCCCATCCCCCACCCCATCCCCAACCCCCCAACTCTAATCCCCATCCCCACCCAACCAAATCCCCATCCCCATCCCCACCAACTCTACCCCATCCCCATCCCCATCCCCACCCCCATCCCCAACCCAACTCTACATCCCCATCCCAACCCAATTCAACCCCCATCCCCATCCCATCCCCCCCATCCCCAACCCACTCTAAACCCCACATCCCCATCCCCATCCCACCCCCATCCCCATCCCCACCCCATCCCCAACCCCATCCCCCACCCAACTCTACCCCCATCCCCATCCCCATCCCCTCCCCAACCCCATCCCCAACCCAACTCTACCCCATCATCCATCGTGCGTCGCAGAACGCAGAACCGTGAGCCCCGCGCCTCTGATGTGCCGGGAGTGCTCACCTCATCATCGGTCTCCACAGGAATGGCCTGGTACAGATGGGATGGGATAGCCATGAATTTGGCATCTCCGATCTTTGGGGACATTGTAATCATTAACCAGAACTCAGTAGTTTTGACCAATGCCGCTGTGCCATTGACATTCTTTGTTATTTTCTACAGTAGATCAGTACATCCCATGTTTCTGCCTGCAGCAAATCTGGTTATACACATGGGTTTCTCTGAAAATGGGTCTTATTTTGACTCATTTTGCACGATCAACATTGCCATTTTTGGGGTATACGGTATACCCCATGTTCAAACATAACCACATGTTGGATCATTGGATCGGTCGATTTGGTCGATCCCAGGCTCCTCATCATAGGCTTGGTCGGCCACTTGGTCGTCGGCCATCCTGAGCGGCGGCTGAACAAAGCTGAGACCCTGCCGAATCGAATCACGGCTATTCTGATGGCTATGGAGATCTACCTCATCTACCTAAATCATGAAAAATCCAGAAAAAACCCTTCCGCTGTGAGGCGGCGAAGAAAACTCCACGGTACAGCTACAGCCGCCTTGGTGGGACCGCGTTCGAACACGGGGAGCTGATCTCCCCTTGAGACTGGGCTTGAGCCATACAGCAGGAAGCAACATGACTCAGGGAGCTTGCTATGATAGGAATCTTAAGAACCCACAAAAAGGATTCATCTGCTGGTGACCTGATTTTGGATGATTTTTGGTTGTATCCAGCATTTGGACAGAAACTGCTACAAACTCAGGACTGGTTTGCGGTTTCAACTCAAATTGTCAAAAACTGAAACTGTCAGGCATCTTCGGCATCTTCTCATCTTTTGGGGAAAGAAATTTTGTTTCGACCCTCAGAAACCACCAGCCATTCATGCCAGTCATGCCATGTCTCCTTTTCCCCGCGCGTTGGATCCCAGGCTTTTGCTGTCCTTACGTGGGCCTCACTTGGCCGTCGCTGTCACGTCCAACAGATCTGCGAGAAGATCTGCAAAACCTTGGCAAATTCTAAGGGACTCTGCAATCAAGTTAAAACAACGAGATGAGATTGTATGTAATTATAATATATATGTCTGTCAATCTGTCTGTCAATCTGTCTGTCTGTCTGTCAATCTGTCTGTCAATCTGTCTGTCTGTCTATCTATTTGTCTGTCTATCTGTCTATCTATCTGTCTGTCTGTCTCTCTATCTATCTAGCTTCCTATCTAATCTAATCTTATCTCATTTGATCTTATCTATCTTATCTTATCCTGTCTTGTCTTGTCTTTCTCTCTATCTATCTTTCTTTATTTCTATCTATTTCTATCCAATCCTATCTAATCTATCTATAATAAATAGTAAACATGTATATATCCTGCGTATCAAAATCTCTATGTATGCTGTTTATATACGTGTGTATATATATATATATACATTCCCTGAAAAAACGGTGTTGAACCATGTAATTGCCAGATACAAATGCATATAACTCCATCATCTTCAGGGCAAACCTCCCCATATGGTGGCCAAACATTCAATGAAGTGATTTGATACGTTTGACCAAGGCAAACCTAGCAGGTATCTATTAGTACGTGGAGGGTTTCTTGCATCTGGGAATGGGTCAAAGTTTCAGCCCCCGGTCGGTGCCTGCTTTTTTGTGGTTTCTTGTTTCTGGAAGGATTAAATTATCCCCCCCCCAAACTTCTCAATCCCGGAACTCCGGATTTCAAGGGGCAATCATCCAATTCCCTTCTGTGCTCGAAGTGGGACGACTACCAGCCAAGACAAAGGAGTTGCTCCATCATTGGGGTTGATGTCAATGAAATCTTGCAGGAAACTGACGAAGTTTGGTCAAACGTGGCTACCCCATGAATTGTATCATTTTAGGCTTGTTCTACAAACACAAACCATGGATATAGACCTGGGCTTGCCCAAAAGGATGCATATCCTCAATCTATGGCAATTTTAGCTGGGGAAACTGCAGGTTTTGAGCCTTCGAGGGAACACGGCCCTTTCGCAAAGGAACCCATCGTGAAACTCCACCGGTCCACCTGGTTCTCAGCGAGAAGTTTTTGATTGAAAACAGAATCAGTGAAACTACCAAGTATATCTGTGTATTAATATGTTTATGTAGATACTAAACAATTGTATACTAAAAGATATGATACGTGTCAATCTTATTTTGATATATGTTGATACACATGTGTAAATTATATACACAAGCACAGACTTGTCATACATGACACACAGTTGCGAACAGATTCATATGCACGTATCCACAAGTACGGAGCAAATCAATCTATGTGTGTTATATTAGAGTACATTCCAGTGAGTGCACGTGATCAGACTCATGTAGTGTCTAGGTAATAATGTAATCAGCACGTATTATGTTAATAAATACATATTGTTTATAAATATCAATGTTCTATCCATATTTCTGTACATATGTATATAATCATACTGTATGTATCATTGTGTATCTATAAATCCACGTGCATAACACAACATCGAAGTTGTCTTGGACTCCCTCCTGGTTTTCCTGCTTGTTTCTACACAATCTGCCCCTCGGGCACACGAAACAGCCCAACATGGGGCTCCATGGGATTGTCCATGTATCGAATTCTGTATATATATATATATACACAGATGTGTGTATATGTATGTACAATATATATATATAATTATATATTATATATATGGGAGTGAACATAGTTAAACTGATTATATACCCACAGGGTGCATAAGAGTAGATGCTAAAGGCTGACGGGTGCGTTTCCACAAACAAAGTGATGACTTTGAAACAGACGTGGGCCTCTGTGCGGATGTCTCTAGATTAAGCCCCAAGTTCATTGGTTGTCTCAACTTCAGGTTTGGGTCAGAATATGCCAATACCATATTGGGTATCCCAAAAATTGAATCATACTGGATAAACTTGGAGGATCTGGTTAGCTTTATATATATATACACATGAAAATCAGGGATACTACCAGAACTGGTTGGTGGTTTCAACCCCTTTGAAAAAAATGAAAGTCAGTTGGGAAAACTAAAAAATGTTCCAAACCACCAACCAGAGAATTCATGACCATTTAAAGTGGGGAAAGTTACGTTGATCCCATGGGACTTGGCGGCACGCCATCGCACGCCTGCAGCTGTTCAAGCTGCAGGAGGTCTCCCTGATAGATCCAGCCGGGCACCTGGCCACTACATCTCCTGCAAATGGTGAGATGCAACCGGTAGAAAATGGTGATTTCAGCATAACTGGAGGGTTTTTCAATAGCATTTCAAAGTCAAAAGAGTCAGGCCATGTTTCTTGGTACATACTGGTGAATGTATGGGATTTTATGTGGTATCAATGGGGATCTTCCAATGGGAGTTTCATGCCAGCAAAAGTCATGGTATCAACCCTGATTTCACTGGGAATAAAATGGGATACAGTCATGGGATATAACAGAGCAACAATAATATAATACTTTATATATATATATTATAGAAAATTGATGAACATTGGAAATTTACCTCCAATGCATGGTAATCTTCTCAGGGAAAATGATGATGATATTGATATAATGATATACCCCTCGGAGTTAGGGGCACAGCATTTTCAGACACACCCTGTTTTGCAACGGACAATGCAGATAATCACCAGCTACAAAAAACAGGGTACTGCCAGATTGGTAGTTGCCAGCGAGCGCACCAGGCGCCTGGTAATTTCGTGTGTTTTCTGTGTTAAATGGGTTCGTTGGGGGGTGGGTGGGTGGGTGGGGATGTTAACGTTCATTGGACTTGCACCCTTCCGTGATGCTACGCTACTGCACGTTCTCTTCAATTTACACAACTACGTGATGCTACGCTACTGCACGTTCTCTTCAATTTACACAACTTTGCTACTTTGACACGTTCAACTACGTGATGCTACGCTACTGCACGTTCTCTTCAATTTACACAAGTACGTGATGCTACACTACTGCACGTTCTCTTCAATTTACACAACTACGTGATGCTACGTTGACTGGGGTGGGGGGGTGGGTGGGTGGGTGGGGGGGGATGTTAACGTTCATTGGACTTGCACACTTACGTGATGCTACGCTACTGCACGTTCTCTTCAATTTACACAACTACGTGATGCTACGCTACTGCATGTTCTCTTCAATTTACACAACTACGTGATGCTCTTCAATTTACACAAAAACAACGACGCAGACAACTGCTAAAAAAGTTGAAAAGAGACGTTTTGATGCAGAAACGCTATAAAAACGCCAGGCGCCTGACGCGCCCGCTACCTGGTGGTTTCAATCCATCCCAGAAATGTGGCTGTCATTTTCCATCATCATCCCAAATGTGGCTGGAAAAAAAACTGTGCTCGAAAACACATATGATTACATATGGGTCAAAAAGCTGGTGCCCTTTTTTTGACACAGAAATAGCCGGTTGGAATGGCCCCGCAGCCCGTCCAGTTGGAATGACGCAGCAGCGGTGGTACCAAAGGGTAGTTCTCAGGGCACTCAAATACCTCAACCGACTCAGTCATCCGATGTGCAGAGCAGAGGTTACTCTGGTTGGTGATTTCAACCCCTCTGAAAAATATTAGTCAATGGGGAGGATTATCCCATATGGGTATGGATCAATACCTATTAATACCATTTTTAGTGGGATGAACATCCATAAATCCCAGCTATTTTGATGTTCACCAGGGGTACAAGGTTTTGACCCATCCCCATATATTATCGGAAATAAAAAATGTTTGAAACCACCAACCAGTTACTCATCGATGTTTGGCTTCGCAGAAATTGGGTGCCCCCCGTTGTTTTGCTGCCTTGCCCAGCCCTGAAATTGCACACCGATATTGGTTGATATTGTTTCCTGTAGTGGATTGTACCAGCCCCTTTCAAATCTCCAACCAGTTGGTATGGTTATATAATGTTATATAGTACAACTCCAAAGAAATGAAGAATTGGAACGTCTGCGAATCTCCACACGGGGCAAAAACTGACCATCAACTCTACAAGTCAGCAAAATTTGGCCTGTAGCAAATGAAACAAAAGGTGTTTGGAGGCAGCACTGATCCACTGCACCAGTTCTTTGCAAGGAGATTGTCTGGGTCCCGCCCCGGGCTGAGAATGTGTTGGAGGAAAAACACGAAATGGTGTATCATGATTTTCTCCATTATGAAAACACACCATATGTATATATTATCTATATATACAGTGTATGGGTAAATTCTTCATTCAGACGGACCCACATTTCATATTGTTGGTTAGTTACATCCCATTATATTCCCTGTATGATGCGTTGATACCCAGATTTTCGCTGGCGAGAAACCCCATTTGGCAGTTATATCCCGTGAAATATTCCCATTGCTACCCCATAAAATCACAATGATGGTCAAACACCCATGAATGATACCCGATCCAGGGGATCGGATTAAAATCTAACTCCAGTTTTTATGATTATAGCAACCAAAAAAAAGATAGAACAGTATAGTACACAAGTGACACTTAGAATGACCCCGAGGTTTCCAAACATTAATCATCATACACTTAGAATGACGTCTCTATCGACGGTAATGCTAAGTGTATGAAGCCCTGCAGAAATACGCATAATTTGATTTGACCCCAAAATTGCTATGTCAAAACTGGAAGGTGCCCAAAACATGAGTGGTCGCTTTCACGGTGCCTCGGCGGTTTCCAAACCCTCATCTAACTTTCGCTTGTCAACTATAACAGTAAAATCCTACTAAACAAGTGAGATAGATTACTTTTCAATCTTTCTGGGGTTGTGATGGGTTGTCTATTTTCATATGTTTAAACCGCCATTTTCTTATTGGTTCAACAGATTTCAAGAGCCATGGCTTGGAAAAAATATGAAAAAAAAACCATCCAAGGCACAATCTCAACAGCTTCCGAGCCATCAGGTCGCAGCCCGGAAATCTCTACACGGGCCTTTTTCGGCAACAAAGAGGGTGGGAAGAAAAGCCAGAAAAACGGAGAGTTAAGCACCAAAAAATTGGATGGAACTGGAACCAAGAAAACCAACGGTTGAACTTGGATTTAACCCAGCAAAATTGGGGAGTTCCTCGACAAAAAATGGGATTGAAGCAACAAGAGTTCAACCAGATTTTCTGGAGAAAGCAGTAAACAAGGGGAGTTAAATCCACATGTGTTGGGATTGAAAATTGAAGCAACAATCATGAGGGATCTACTGTACTTGCAACAACCAACAAAAAACACTAGAATCATCAGAGACTGTGTCACTGCTGTCCCAGATGGGTCTGTCTGAAAGTCGAGTATCTGGCTATCTCAAAACCCAGTGCTGATTTCATGGTTTATCATGGTTTATCATCATATTCCCTTTCCGCAGACAGCCATTTGGGGGATATCAAAGCATAAAACAGCCATGTGTCGTGAATGTGGGGGGATATCAAATATAATTACCCTCTGGTTATTTAACATAGCCATGGGAAAATCACCATTTTTAATAGGTAAACCATCTATAAATGGGCCATGGCTTCCATGGCTATGTTAAATAATCAGAGGGTAAAACCAATGGAAAAACCCGCCAGCCACATCTCAAGGTCCTGCAAGGGCCCATCTTGTCGCACGCGCAGGCCGCGCAGGCGCCCATCGCGGAATGCGGCCGCGAGCACGGCCAGCTCCTGCGACAGGCGCCAGGATGCCAGCGAGGGCGACCTGGACGACAGATGGTGGGGAAGATCCAGTTTTATGCTACTGAAATAGCGAGATTTTATATGGTTTAAGTACCATTATGAAATACTCTGAAAACTGAGGGAAATCTATTAGAGAGGATATATATATATATATAATCTTTGTTTGAATGCGTTAGTTTTAATATATGTGCTCTTCTGTTGCGGATTATCGATTGTTTTGAAATAATTGATCCATACACGTAGCAGTATGGCTAATCTGGTGGCCTTGGATGCTAGAGTTCCCCGCTTAAGGACAAATCCCTGAAAGAATCCAAACACTATCACTTGTTTTGACTAATATAGATATCGTCATTTAAATCGCTGTTGAAATACCGTAAACCCTTGTTGAAGGGTTTGATTAATATAACCCTTGTTGAAGGGTTTCTCCCCGTAATCTAGATTGCTCCTCCCTTTCTTTGTGGCGCGCGATGGGAAAAAAACCCTGCCTGCAGGAGGGCAACACCTCCTCTAGGTACAAAGCCACCTGATGGCGTTCAGAGGGGCCACGCGATCGGAGGCGCCTCCGCCAAGCCCATAAGGAATTTCTGGGATTTCTTGAGTCATCTGGCCAAATGATCACCTTTTTGCTGGTGTCATGTTTAATGCTTTACTAAGCAGAAAGAAGCGAAAAAAGCGCCAGTTTCAGGAGGTACAACCCCACCGATACATGGTCTCACTTAACACCCCACAGCGGTGCCGATGGTTTCAGAAACACCAAAATCATCCAAAATTCGTCATTTTTCAATTCTGAACCCATGAAACCAATGGTTTTTGGGGCACCCAATCTTGTAAAACACCAATGTTGTTGAAACAAACTGGATATACCATGTGTCAGGTCCAAAAGGCCGAACGGAATCTCCCAAACACCAGTGGTTACCCCTCAATAGAGTGAAAAAAAAAGTATATATATATATAAGTACGATAAGAATTGACCCCCTAATCAACTGGGGGTTGATTAAGCTTGTATTGACATTCATTACGTCAACAAGTATTGAAGATCAATATCTACTTGGTGCTTTCCACCCGAAGGTGGTACCCAAACCCGCGTGTGCATGAACGCAGTATTGGATGAGCATGCAAACATCCAGTTCATCCCAGAATTGGATTCAGGGAATCTACAGTTTACCTTAATCGAACCATTGGGTTTTTTCCATGTCCCATATGTTCTGAGGTATCCATCTGTTTTTTCCCAATATAAATCGAGGTGTTTCATGGTGGAAACAATCGCTGGAGTCGAGCGGCCTCACTCGAGGTGACTTTCCGTCGCTTGATGGGTCGAGCCTCATCCAACAAGCATTGTTCAGTCCAACTATGTGAGTATGTGTGGCTATGGTTACTATACTATTATAAATATATATATATATGGTCTATATGGTTTTTATTCCCCCAAATATGATTTTTATATAACTATGTGATAGCATATGATGTTTATTCCCCAAAATATGTTACTATATGCGAATAGGTTTGGACCAATCCCCATGTATATGGAGATTTCCGTTTTGTCATGGGAACTTCCATATGTAGTCCAACTATGTGAATATATGTGTATTTGGGTAATGTGTAACTCTGCATGAACCTGTACTGTACTGTAATGTGAGGTAATGTAATGTGATGTCATATAATGTGATGTGGTTATCTGTAATGTGATGTAATGTCATATAATGTGATGTGGTTATCTGTAATGTGATGTAATGTCATATAGCGTAATGTGATCTCATGTAATGTGATGTAATGCGATATGATGCAGTGCAATGATAGTACGACGCAGTGCTATGTTATGCGATGTGATGTGAGTTAATGTAATGTATATAATGGAATGGAATAGAATGTAATGTAGTGTAGTGCAATATGCAATATATAATATACGTATATATGCATATATGCATATAGGTATATATATATATATAATTGTGTGTTCTGTGCAATATGCACACAAATGATCACAAATGCGGGCATTCAACAAGCTACATTTGGTGACTTTGGTGACGTGGAATTTCCCCATGGCTGAGGATCCGCGCTGGCGGAGCAACTTCAATCAGCATGACACCGGTGGATGTGATCCGCCCTAAACAGGACGTGTTGGGGAAATCTGCTGGTTTGGCTGCAAAGTCCTGTTCCGGTGTTTCTGAGCATCCTCAAGAACTTGATCATCCCAGTTGTTTCTATTTTCTATCTGTTTTTTTCATTGCTGGATTCCCAATCTTTCTTGCTCAGTGCCTTATCTACATTGGTGAAATGCGTATTTCACTGGGTCTATGCCCATGTTACTTTCCTTGGTTCAATGCCGTTCTGCCTGCTGCGATGTTCTGATGCCCTCCTTGTGTTTTCATGCGCTTGAGCTCAAGCCGCTGAAGAGGGGCGGCCCCATTTCATGGAGGTCGCCGGCAGCATCCCTAGGGAACTGTCAAGCTTTGGGGTTCTCTGGGGCGCAGGACAGGAGGCATCTCAAAAGACCCCCAATTGACGATGCAGGTGGTCAGGTTGGAAAGGGAACCAGCATTGGGTGCCTAAAAAATCCAATGTTTCATTTGGATGTGGCCGAAACCGGAGACTACCTCAACCCTTGGTTTGGATCAAATTCTGGGCAACTTTAACCTTGGCCGCGACTTTAGATATTTTTTTCGCACAAAATTGGATGCTTCAGACCGAAAAAAATGTCCAGTGATGTCCGGTGATTTTGGGGTCCCGACTGAAACATCGACAACTTGCGGTCGCCACACCCTTTTGTTCCTCTGCTGCAGGACTGCATTGAGACCTCATTAAAGGCTCCAGAATCTTTCTGAAAATCCCACATATACCAGTTGGTGAATCAGGATTTTACACATCCCCACGACAAATAGTATTGCAATTCCCAGGCAAAATCATGCCGATCAGATCCTTGAGGTACCAACACAATAGATTTGACACCCAGAGAACAAGATGTGACACCCCAAAAACAAGATAGACAAGTAAAGTCCCAATCCAAAATAGTGGTAGACTATATCTATATCTTTTTTGGGTCTGGATTGTATTCAATCCTTGCAAACTTAAGGCAGAGATTAATTTCCTGATGGTGGACCCCATGTCCCCCATTCAGGCACCACACCCTGTGACCGAGCTATATGATGCTATATGATGCTATATGTATATATGATATATCATGGTACATATTAATATAGATTGTGTGTGTATGTGTGCCCAATTACCTTGCCCTCGCTGTTCTGCCGCGCAACTTGTGCTTCTTCCAGGCTCTTCGCTGACACTCCTGTAGAGACTTGATGTCAACCCAGGATTTTGATAAACCCACAAGAAAACTCAACAGGGAGGTACCAGTTGAAATAGAAATTGAGCTGGCTGTTTTGCGGGGTAAACTTACCTTTTTTATAGTCGTGGTTTATTAATCCGGGTTTGAGATTAAGAGCGCACTGCCAGTTGTCAGGTGTATTCAGTTAGATAAGGTGCACCTTGCGACTCCGCGACGAAGTTTGTTTCGAGTCTTCGCAACCATAGGGGGCCTGGTTCCATTTGCATCGCAGGTATGCCACTTTCATAACCCATGAGACATCCTGAGATATGTCTCCAAACCCTGGATGCCACACCATGGGTCATTTCGCGCATTGCTATTGCTTCTTGTATGACGTCCCAAGATACAGAGATGAACAAACATGATGCTTGGATATTCTTGGGGAATCTTAAAGACTCTAAGTCTCATGGAAAATTACCCATCGAGTTCCATGATTTTCCCATTAAAACACTTCATTTATATAGGGGATATTCCCATGTTTTCTCATGTTTTGCCCATCACAGGCTTCATTGGTTGCGTTTCCGATACCAAGCACTGCTCCATTCGCATCTCATATCCCACCACCCATTCGCTCCGTGCTGCAGTAGAAGACGACTTTGCATCTGGAACCTGGGGGACTCTTGAAAGGCGACTAGGTGCCAGAGTCCCGGAAAAAAATGTGGTAAACCCAGTAATGAACCCAAATTCTTTGAGGTGTCTTTCCAAACAAAAATGTAAACCTAGTCAGGCTTAGGTATATGGTTGGTCAATTCTTGAGTTTGCCAGTTCATCATATGAATCCACATTGTCTAGATGGAAAATTAAAGCCAAGAGCAATGAATTCCATGTCAATCAATCTATTTGAGCCAGATTTCGATTCCGGTAAGCCTTTGACAGTTGGTCAATATCCCTGTTGGTTCATACCCCCAGATCATACCATAACGGGGTTCATCCCCACTTCTTCACCATCAAAAAATGAGGATGGGGTTCAATACCGAAGGATCCAAACAAAAACTATATAGTTTGATGTTTATCCCCTGATCCCCTTATCCGATCAATATGAAGCCATCAATCTCCAGAGCCCATGGCTCCCCACAGCAGAACTGGGCCATGTTCCCACAGACCTCACAGCCATCGCCTGGGGCGAGTCTCAAGCTGGGATTTCATGATGTTCTTTAGCCATTCTTAGTATAGTGATGTGCTACCATTTGAACAACATCAACTTAAACCAACATAAACCCCAACTGGGCCAATTGGGTATGGTTTATGTTAAACCCCAAATGGATCCAAATGGTGCATTTCGAAATGACTGCCGGGTGTACCAAATGAATTCAAAAGCCAAACAATTTGGCCCTGATTTCCACAGTTCGAAACCCTGGGAATGGAGCAGGTTTCAGCGTGGATGAGAATCCCATGTCTCAGTGTTCAACATCTTTGGTTTTAACCCAGCTATAGATGGGATGTGACCACAAGCAATCGCCAGCTTGACCTGGAGCTGTGTCTCCAAAGAGGAAGAAACGATAGCCCGGCCTAGGGCACGAACTGTTGAGCCACCATGGGGGAAAACACAACCCTGGCCATGTTAGAAAAATCCCGAAAAATCTGAAAAAATGAAGCGGGATGAAGCGGGCATATCCCAACACATCCTGGGCTCACTCTGTGGGATTTGGAGATGGGCCCATAATCCAAAGGCTGGGGGTTCCAAGGCCATGGGGAAAAACCTCATGGAAAAACCATATAAAATTGGTCATTTTCAATGGGGAAACCGCTTTGGTATACCCCAGTTTTGAAAGACACCGAATTCCAAGTAGCTTCGGTGCTACAGACACCCCTTTTTTGGGGTGGAATCTCGAAAATTGCCCATCTGTTTCCATATGCTGGGCATTCACTGCTACCCTCTGTGTAACATGGCTGGGAAATCCGCGAACCAGCCATGGGCATCTAAATTGGGAAAGTCATCTATAAATGAGGTATGTTCCATTGCCAGAGGAAAACCAAGCCCTGGCGGTCCCAGCTGAGAGAAATAGATGGCCGCCACGCTCACATTGCTATACCTGGAAATCACTAGCGCGCGAGTTAGCGCACCATCGGGTTTCGGAGTTCGATGATGGGGGCCCATGTGTAAGTTCAAAGGTCAAAGGGGTTCAACTATTGTTCTATAGATTCTATATTCATATTGATGTATATTCATGTATATTCATGTCATATTCATGTATATTCATGCATATTCATGCATATTCATGCATATTAGTATAAAGATGTATAAAGTTTATTATTGTTTAAAAAAGAAAAACCTCTTCATATCTCTGAAACCATCCATGTTTTGCCACGGTGATGTCGAACTACACATTACTACACCCTTTTTTTGAAGGTAGGATGATCTAGCAACCGATGAGATGCACCTCCACCACCTGGTGTACCTCTGGGGTAAATAAATCATTTCTAGACAACATTCGGGCCACAATAATCACTAGTTAGGACATCTCTCATTTCGCAATTGCACCCTACGCAGATGGGGGATTAAAACCTCTGCGTCCTGTCAAGATACCCCCCACGGTGTAAAGCTGACCCAGAGCAATTTGGAAGAAAATCGGGTGATTCCAGTGGCAGTCAGTCATAATCAGGCGATGCTAAGGCCGGGGTTGGGAGACAGTCTCAGTTGGCAACCAGTTAGCAAGTCTGGTTACAGCATGTTACAACCCATTTTCGAAATCGGCTAAGTTTGTAATAAAATGCCGGAGTTACTAGCTCTTATTGCTATCGAATTGCTCTATTTGGTGATTCCAACCCGCTTCCTTCCAAATGAGTCAATTGAAATATCTTTGGATAATCTATCTTATCTATCTATCTATCTATCTGTCTATCTCTCTATCTGTCTGTCTGTCTGTCTGTCTATCTATCTGTCTATCTATCTATCTATCTATCTGTCTGTCTGTCTATCTATCTATCTATCTATCTATCTATCTATCTATCTATCTATCTATCTATGCCTGTATGCATGTATGCATGTATGCCTGTATGGATGTATGCATGTATGCATGTATGCATGTATGCATGTATGGATGTATGGATGTATGCATGTATGCATGTATGCATGTATGCATGTATGCATTTATGCTGTATGTATGTATGTATGTATGTATGGATGCATGTATGGATGCATGTATGGATGCATGTATGCATGCATGTATGCATTTATGCATGGATGCATGTATGCATGTATGCATGTATGCATGTATGCATGTATGCATGGATGCATGTATGCATGTATGCATGTATGCATGTATGCAGTATGTATGTATGCATGTATGCATGTATGTAATGTAATACAATGTAATGTAATGTAATGTAGTGTAATGTAATGTAACTTAATGTTATGTAATGTTATGTAATGTTGTGTAGTGTTTTGTAATGTTTTGTAATGTTATGTCATGTTATGTCATGTTATGTCATGTTATGCAATGTTATGTAATGTTATGTAATGTTATGTAGTGTTATGCAGTGTTATGCAATGTAATGTCATGTATTTTTTTCTTTTAATGTCATGTAATGTCATGTAATGTTATGCAATGTTATGTAATTTTATGTAATGTTATGTAATGTAATGTTATGTCATGTTATGTCATGTTATGTAGAGTTATGTAATGTTATGCAGTGTTATGCAATCTTATGTAATGTCATGTAATGTTATGTAATGTTATGATGTAATGTTATGTAATGTTATGTAATGTTGTGCAATGTTATGCAATGTTATGTAATGTTATGCAATGTTATGTAATGTTATGCAATGTTATGCAATGTTATGTAATGTTATGTAATGTTATGTAATGGCATGTATGTATGTAATGTAATGTAATGTAATGTAATGTAATGGTATGGTATGGTATGGTATGGTATGGTATTTATGTATGTATGCATGCATGCATGCATGCATGCATGCACGCATATAATCAGTTCAACTCGAATCAGGGTAGTTGAAACTCAACCATATATCAGCGTGTTTCACCAGTTTTCATGCAATTTCAGGCCAGCAATGAAGACAAAGTGTGGGATGATGAAGGGTATTCATCAAATCCAAATATCCTAATCAAATGCTGTTGGTTTTATCCCAGATGCTGAAACCCCAGGGCCCCATGCCCTTCCATGCTCACGTGGACAGCAGCGCATCGCAGCGCGACATCAGAAGGACCTCCACTAAAACATCCTGGCGTTGCGGGCCGTGAGCCACAGCTGGGATGGGGCGACTACTTATCGACCATGAAATACATGAATGTGTTTACATCGCAACACACACACACACGCACACACACACACATATATATATAAACAAACATATTATATATATATACATATGAATGTTATATCAAATTGTTTCCATGGTTCACGTCGTGCTTTTGAAACTCAGCAGCAGAGGCGGGCATGTTGCGAAGGCCTGTTCCAAGGCCACCGCCTGATGTGGCTTGTGGTGCTTCCGAGCTGTTCCCGCGACACCCGGAGTACGGGTGAGCCTTGAAGAAGAGCCCGCCAGATGGCAGGGACATTGCCAAATGGGGCTACCCAAGATGATGCCGCACTTGCTTGCAGCTCAGTGCTTGGTCTTCCATCAGGCTAGCAGGGCGCGTTAAGTTGCGGACAAACTTTCAGCGCTGCCACCATTAGCAAGCGTCAACGGCTCGGTATCCTCCTTAAAAATGCCCACCTGGATGTTCACAATAATGTTCAACTGCCAATATTATTTAACCCTATATGTCATGTCTCTTCTCTTTTTGATCCGCCACGTCTTGCTATACACGTTCCTCTTGACACGAAAGCCCTTGACTTCCAGGTATGCAAGGTGTTCCCTTTCTTAGAGCACCATTTTTTGCACGAGGGAGAGCACCAAAAAGCACAATCTAGAGCACGATTTTTTGAGAGCACCAAAAAACACGAGCATGATTTTTTGGGCACGAGGGAGAGCACCAAAAAGCACGATTTGTCGCACAAGGAGGGGACAGACAGGTAAGGGCTCACCTGCGCGCACAGAATTGACTCATCTGCGCACACAGATTTTACCCCATTCTAATCATTTTTGGCTCGTCTGCGCACACAACGTTGACTCATCTATACACAGAGTGGTGGGGTTGGGGTGGGGGTGGGGTGGGGGCGGGGTGCCAATAACGTTCAAGTTCACTCGCACACACAGGCACTGCACAGGCACTGCACACTGATCATGTAGAGTTGGGGTTGCGGTAGGATTGGGATGGGATGCTGATAACATCTGATAACGTTCATGTTCACATGCAAAAATGCTTCCCTCCAGGGACCAGCTGCCTCTCTGTTGCCCCATGGCCATGTCAATGGGGTATATGTATGTATAATGTATAATTAATAGATATTTAAGGATTGCAGTGATACTGAAAATATATGAAAATATGTGGTAAGGGGGAATATACTTAAGGGATCTTAAGGGCGCAGTTCCTGAGAGAAGTTGTCATGTAACTGCAGTTGCAGGGGTTACATTGCTACTTATGGGGACTATTACCATGGTGATAGTCATTCATATTTCCAACTGCACCCCTGAGTACAACTTTAGATGTACAAGGGAAAACATAAAGAACATCGTGTTTTTCTATCTACATACAATGCTGATAATATATAAGGGGGAGACGTGACACTCACCCCGCCACTTTTTCCTTTGGCAACGCTTCATTGGCGGAATCCAGTGGATAGGCTTCCAAGCATTCCGCAATGGCAGCTGCTGCGATCTCCGGCTTGGCCTTTGGCGCCGGAGAAGGAGCCCGGGCCCAGGATGGTCATTCTTCGGGCACTGGGACGACAAGCCCTGAGATTGCCAAAGTGCCAGCCGTATTAATTTGAATTCTAGCTACTCCTATGATCCCAGAAATGGTTTCATTACAACGGAAACAAAGGCCAGTCAACCCCAGGACATCTTGCACATGCTGTCACAAACCAAACAATGTCCCAGCAAAACATTGAAGTTGGGTTTTTAACCAACAGAAATGTGGAATAATGCAGATTTAGATAGATTTAAACAAGAACAGTTGGGATCTTAACCATCAGAAATCAACTAATCCATTCAACCTGTCGAAGGATACCTAAACCTGGGGACCTGAGGCTGCTGTTTGCCCAGTCCGTTCCCCCACCTGAAAGCCTTTCAAGCGAAAGTGGAAAGGTAGGAAAGGACCATCCACCAGGCTCCGGTGCAATGGATGGGAGGCGTCCTCCAAGATTTCAGTCCTCGTCAAAGAGGAGGGTTGCACAATGCTTGTCAGAAGGATCATCGGATCATCGGGATTTCCAAACGAGGTGCCAAAAAGAGATGCCACAAACGCCACGGATTTCCTTCGATTTTGGGTCTTACCCAGTTTGACCACTCAAAGGTTTAACGCCCACAGAAATTGCAGAAATTCAGGATTTAAAGTATAAACCATTCAAAGGGGATCATCATTTCGATTTGGGGTTTGCCAGGATTACCCCTGATTTGGGGATTTTACTTTTGATTCGGATAGTCTGTGGCTCGCAGTTCTGCAACAGACTACCCCTCGGTTGGACCTGGAACCTGGGAATTACTGCATTCAAGTTGCGGATGAACACCAACAAAACTTGCCAACTGCTCGGTCATTGCCACGTAGTCGTGGGGGAACTGTGGTCGAGGTTGATGCAATCCTGAAGTTGGCCGCTACAAGGACCGCCATTCCCACGATTGCTACCATTGGTGATTTGTGGAGATGCCATGGATGGAGCCGTTTCCCGGGGGGAATCCAAAAACTTGCCAATCCATGATATTAGGAGCGGGCTTTGCCCACGGATGGACGCCATTGTCATGGAGTGCTCTTCCATCGCGGAATACGCCCAATTCCTCTTTGTTGCTGGCTGTATTGCCACATTTTTTGGGTTTCAATGCCCAGTTCATCAAGTCCATCCACATTTCACTTAAGTTTAAATCCATAAATTTGAACATAACCACCAGAACAAATCAAGAAATCACTGCCCCAAAAACCAGCCCCTGGGAGCTGATCCTCTCGCAATCCGAGATTCGAATCTCCATCTGCTTCTGTAGAGCCTCCTCCATTTCCTCCTGCAGTCACCAGGAGATCGTCACTGGGTTGGTGTTTTTCGCTTTGCGCGAAACCATGTTGTTTTTGCTATCTAAATTACAGGGTAGGGTCCGAAAATATGAACAACTGTAAGTCTTCTATGGCCGATCTGCTAACAAAAAAATAGCCGGAGATCATGTTAGAACCGCAATTTCGGAATTTGCAGAATGATTTCAGGGGTTCACTAGTTCACTTTGCCGGGTGCCTGTGCACTGATTCATTCGGGTCTGTTCAAAAAAAACAGGAACACACCACAAATAATTCCTGAACTCCTTCATAAAGCTGTGGATCAATTGCGATCATTGTCGAGATCCTTGCCCTACTGAAAACGAACATGTTTTGAATTTCTTGTTGGGGGGAAGACTCATAAATTCAAGATTTGATTGTTCATGATTGGTATATACGTATGCATACACTTATGTACTAACAATTAAATATAATTTTTGGACAATGATTCTATTGAAACCACTACTGACTTGCTATTTACTGGTTAACCATTAATAGAAGCCCATGTTGATGTTAGCCCAGTACTATACGAGTATCATTCCAGTATCAGATTTTAGCTGTTGACCAGCGTGTATATATATACACATGTACATATATATATATACACAGTAATGTATTGGTATTGATCATGTTCATATCATCATTATTATCATGTAATTGTCCTCATCCTCATCCCCATCCTCATCCTCATCATCATCATCATCATCATCCTCATCATCATCATCATCATCATCGTCGTCATCGTCATCCTCATCCTCATCCTCATCATCATCATCATCATCATCATCACCATCACCATCACCATCACCATCATCATACACATATTCAAAGCGACCCACCTGCTTGAACTGCTAGCGTACGGCTCCTGGCTCAGCTGCGGCAAGCGGCCAGAGAAGACGCCACAGGCCCAGCGGCCTTGCAGTTCCAGGGCGGCAAAGAAGGGACCACGGTAGAGACCAACCTGGGAGGACTGCAGAGCTGCACGCACATGATATAATTAGGGGTAGAACAATAATAAACCAACCAGTTGGGAATGGTAAGCAATTTATGGGAAATTGGGGGATGGTTTATTATTGTTTACCCACATTACTCATATTACAAACGTGTATATATATATATGCATATAATATGATATTTCATATTCTTAATCCATCTTGTGACACATATTAGTAAGCAACCTAGTTGTAAGCAGTAAGTGGGCTATAACTAATATTTATATGAAGTACAGTAATACAGTAATCCAATTTTTCAACGTAAAATGGGCAGGATGCTAAATTCCCCAACGTGCTGATGCTGATGGTGGGACATGGGATGGAATCAGCAGATCCAGGTGATCTGAGATTGAGATACCTCAATAGCCTCAAGTCTATAGACTATTACAATCTATTACATACTATTACTATAACCCGTATCATAGCCCGTATTCCTAGCCATATTAGTAAGTAACCTGGTGTTTTGACCCGGTTCGCCAGTCAGCCAAGCCAGAGTAGTTCACAAAAACCAACCAAGCCCAGGGGTCCAGCTGCCAGGGGGCAAAAGCCATCTGAGGGATCTTGGGATGCCAAACGCCATGTGCCAAGATCAGTGGCTGCAGCTGGTCTTCCGTCTCCAACTGCAGAAATTTTCGAACTTTGTCAGGCAGAAAGGGTAGATCTAAACCTAAGACTGGCTCGTGGAACTGGGGGGAGGATGAAGTTGGGAAACATCATGTTTGTATGTACATAATATGTAAAAAGTTGTGGTCGTCCAAATGCGCGGTCGACAGCCCCTTAAAATACAGCGAGTCCTCTGGGCCCGGCTCTCCAAACATCCACGGCTGCCAGTTGTCGATACTCAACAATTTGCTGATGGTCGTCTCATCATGTTTGCTACAAGGAATATGCTGTATACATATTATTTACGATTATTTCCAATCGTGCTATTGTATGTTCCTATCGTTCTATTACACCATCTATCATAATTACATTCAATTAGAAGCCAAAAATAAAACATGTTGCATTACACCAAGTCATGACAAATGACATTGTTGCATTCTATGACCGCGTGAGGGCCGTGAATCACAGGTGATAACTCTTTGGGCTTTGCGTTTTGATTCACGATTGTTTTGTTTCCTCTTGATTACTAGCTATAATATATATATATATATGTATACATAATATAATCGGTTTGAGATATTTCCTGAATTCATGAATTATGTTCCATCTCCAACTGAATTGAGTTTCTCTGAAATCTGTGGGGAAAAGTTCAACATAGTTGAACGACTATTTGAGATTACTCTGAAATTGTTGTTCATTTCATGATTCTACACTGTTGTTCCTTCATCGTTTTCTACCCTGGGTGATCCATTCATTACCCTACCCCTAAAAAACATGCGCCCAGTCACGGTATCCGGTCGCCAACAGCAGCTGATCAAACTCTTCTTGCGATCCATCGCTGAAGATGACCAGACGTCCCCTGACCTGATAACGGCACAAAACGTGTCTCTTATCTGAAAAGAGGGGGCGACCAAACTGTGTTTTTTGGCGGGGAACCAGTAAGCTGAGTCACAAACTGAATATATGTGTATATATGCTTATATATATAATTTAGCTTTTTTTAAAGTCTCGTAAAAATATTTTTGTTATCTAGCGTACGTGTAGTGACGAGTGACATGAACGGGGGTATGAACGTGTGTGTGAACGACATGCGTGCGAGTGAACGTACGTGCGAACGTATGTATGTACGAGTGAGCGTACGTGCGAGCGAACGTGTGAGCGTACGTCCGTGCGTTTGCACGGTCACTTGAGTCGACCTTATTTTTGCACGACCCTGCCTCTTTAGTATTGATTTAGTATTGTAGCGCTTTGCACGTACAGAAATAAGGTCGACTCCAGTCGACCTTATTTTCGTACGTGCGCGCGCACGCGGCCAGTGAACGTGCAAACGCACGCACGTACGCGCACACGTCCGTCCACTTGTACGCACACGTCCGTTCACTCGTTCGCTCACACGTGCACTCGTCCGTTCACTCGTTCGCCTTACGTTCGTCACCACGTCCGTTAGCCACTCGTACCCCCTACGTTCACCGCGTCTCTTGGATCTTTAAAAGCATTGTTTACGAGGCTTTAAAAAAAGCTAATATATAATGTACATATGTATACATCTCTTCAATCTCTATAATATATATATATATATATATATCCGCCGACCCCGGCTGCGCAAGGGGGAGCGCGTTAGGGAATAAGACAGCAGCACCCAGCCAGTAGCCAGCAGTCAATATCCGCCGACCCCGGCAGACGCAAGGGGGAGCGTGCCAGGGAATAATACTTTTGACTCTTGTTTCGGACTACTACTACTACTACTACTACTACTACCATGGTGTTTTCCCATCCGGCAGGTGCCTTTTGAACAGAAGGAGTCACAGGAGCAGGAGCAGCAGCAGCAGCAGGAGGAAATAGAAGGTGTTTGACAAGACGGTTATCATCACAAAGGCAATTCTTTTTTTTCTAGGATTTCAGAAGGGACGTTAGGCACTTTTTGGGCTCGATTTTGGAGCGTTTTGGGCACGAAATTAGGTGGCGCTTCAGCGTTTCAAGTGGTGGCCATGAGCAGCAGCAGCAACAGGAGCAACAGGAGGGTTCTATGTCTCATTGCACAAACAGTGGTATAAACATTGGTCGAAAACTATAAACATTGGTATATTATTGTGATTGATTTTGCGTCATGTTCGGCACGAAATTAAGTGTCTGGCTGCTGGTTTCTTACTTTATTAGAGGCAGTAGCAGCAATCAAAATTAGAGATCAAATTGGACAAAATTAGATTTCTATTGGACAAAGTTGGATTTCTAGTAGGATTTCAGAAGGGACGTTTCGGCCCCCGAAAACCTATTCTTGTGATTGATTTTGCGTCATGTTCGGCAGGAAATTAGGTGGTGTTTTGCTGTTTCGGCTGTGTTTTAAAAAAGGTGTCTGGCTGCTGGTTTCTTGCTTTATTATAGGCAGCAGCAGCAGTCAAAAATTAGAGATCAAAATTGGATAAAATTGGATTTCTAGTAGGAGTTCAGAAGGGACGTTTCGGCCCCCGAAAACGAAATATTGTGATTGATTTTCCGTCATGTTCGGCACGAAATTGGGTGGTGTTTTGCTGTTTCGGCTGTGTTTTAAAAAAGGTGTCTGGCTGCTGGTTTCTTGCTTTATTAGAGGCAGCAGCAGCAATCAAAATTAGAGATCAATCAAATTTGACTAAAATTAAATTTCTATTGGACAAAATTGGATTTCTAGTAGGATTTCAGAAGGGACGTTTCGGCCCCCGAAAACCTATTATTGTGATTGATTTTGCGTTATGTTCGGCACGAAATTAGGTGGTGTTTTGCTGTTTCGGCTGTGTTTTACAAAAGGTGTCTGGCTGCTGGTTTCTTGCTTTATTATAGGTAGCAGCAGCAGTCAAAATTAGAGATCAAAATTGGACAAAATTGGATTCTAGTAGGATTTCAGAAGGGACGTTTCGGCCCCCGAAAACTTAATATTGTGATTGATTTTCCGTCATGTTCGGCACGAAATTGGGTTGTGTTTTGCTGTTTCGGCTGTGTTTTAAAAAAGGTGTCTGGCTGCTGGTTTCTCGCTTTATTAGAGGCAGCAGCAGCAATCAAAATTAGAGATCAAATTTGACTAAAATTAGATTTCTATTGGACAAAATTGGATTTCTAGTAGGATTTCAGAAGGGACGTTTCGGCCCCCGAAAACCTATTATTGTGATTGATTTTGCGTTATGTTCGTCACGAAATTAGGTGGTGTTTTGCTGTTTCGGCTGTGTTTTAAAAAAGGTGTCTGGCTGCTGGTTTCTTGCTTTATTATAGGCAGCAGCAGCAGTCAAAATTAGAGATCAAAATTGGACAAAATTGGATTTCTAGTAGGATTTCAGAAGGGACGTTTCGGCCCCCGAAAACTTAATATTGTGATTGATTTTCCGTCATGTTCGGCACGAAATTGGGTGGTGTTTTGCTGTTTCGGCTGTGTTTTAAAAAAGGTGTCTGGCTGCTGGTTTCTCGCTTTATTAGAGGCAGCAGCAGCAATCAAAATTAGAGATCAAATTTGATTAAAATTAGATTTCTATTGGACAAAATTGGATTTCTAGTAGGAGTTCAGAAGGGACGTTTCGGCCCCCGAAAACCTAATATTGTGATTGATTTTCCGTCATGTTCGGCACGAAATTGGGTGGTGTTTTGCTGTTTCGGCTGTGTTTTAAAAAAGGTGTCTGGCTGCTGGTTTCTTGCTTTATTAGAGGCAGCAGCAGCAATCAAAATTAGAGATCAATCAAATTTGACTAAAATTAGATTTCTATTGGACAAAATTGGATTTCTAGTAGGATTTCAGAAGGGACGTTTCGGCCCCCGAAAACCTATTATTGTGATTGATTTTGCGTTATGTTCGGCACGAAATTAGGTGGTGTTTTGCTGTTTCGGCTGTGTTTTACAAAAGGTGTCTGGCTGCTGGTTTCTTGCTTTATTATAGGTAGCAGCAGCAGTCAAAATTAGAGATCAAAATTGGACAAAATTGGATTCTAGTAGGATTTCAGAAGGGACGTTTCGGCCCCCGAAAACTTAATATTGTGATTGATTTTCCGTCATGTTCGGCACGAAATTGGGTGGTGTTTTGCTGTTTCGGCTGTGTTTTAAAAAAGGTGTCTGGCTGCTGGTTTCTCGCTTTATTAGAGGCAACAGCAGCAACAAACAGTGGTATAAACATTGGTCGAAAACTATAAACATTGGTATATTATTGTGATTGATTTTGCGTCATGTTCGGCACGAAATTAGGTGTCTGGCTGCTGGTTTCTTACTTTATTAGAGGCAGTAGCAGCAATCAAAATTAGAGATCAAATTGGACAAAATTAGATTTCTATTGGACAAAGTTGGATTTCTAGTAGGATTTCAGAAGGGACGTTTCGGCCCCCGAAAACCTATTCTTGTGATTGATTTTGCGTCATGTTCGGCAGGAAATTAGGTGGTGTTTTGCTGTTTCGGCTGTGCTTTAAAAAAGGTGTCTGGCTGCTGGTTTCTTGCTTTATTATAGGCAGCAGCAGCAGTCAAAATTAGAGATCAAAATTGGACAAAATTGGATTTCTAGTAGGAGTTCAGAAGGGACGTTTCGGCCCCCGAAAACCTAATATTGTGATTGATTTTCCGTCATGTTCGGCACGAAATTGGGTGGTGTTTTGCTGTTTCGGCTGTGTTTTAAAAAAGGTGTCTGGCTGCTGGTTTCTTGCTTTATTAGAGGTAGCAGCAGCAATCAAAATTAGCGACCAATCAAATTTGACTAAGATTAGATTTCTATTGGACAAAATTGGATTTCTAGTAGGATTTCAGAAGGGACGTTTCGGCCCCCGAAAACCTATTATTGTGATTGATTTTGCGTTATGTTCGGCACGAAATTAGGTGGTGTTTTGCTGTTTCGGTTGTGTTTTACAAAAGGTGTCTGGCTGCTGGTTTCTTGCTTGTGATAATGCATTTGCCAAAGTTTCTCGTCACACAGCTTGCCTGTTTCACCAGCAATCCCCGATTCTTTACCGGGGTCGGCGGCAGGGGCGGCAGCCCTTAAATATATGTATATAATAATGTATATACATGCCTAAAATGATTGACGTTCTCCTTTCCCTGGTGGCTTCAACACATACCAAACAGGATTGGGCAAGTCAATGGGTAATTCACCGCTATCCCAAATATCTGGATGTACACACCTCTGACGTGTACCATGGAGACCCCAAAAATGTCTTGGAAGATACATATGATATAAGTGCGCAGTATTTCATTGCTAAAATATGCAAAAAGATGCAAAAAAGTGCTTAATTTTTAAGTATGTGTTACCGATTCTCCAACTGAGGTCGATAAGAATCATTTATAGACTAGATGTGTTGGATTCAATGCCCCAGTTTATGTCCATACAACATGAATGAACACAAGAATAAACAAACCAACGGGAGAAGTCACGATTAAAAAACCTGATGTTTCTTTGGATTGTTTGATAAAAAACTGTAATTTTTTGGAAATTTCCTCAAGATTTTCAAGACGGTCCCACCCTGCCGGACGCCTCCTGCACTCGTAAGGTGCGTAGTTCCACCTGACCCGACTTCACGGCTTGGACGAAGTCGTCGGAAATGCAGAGGAACGGTGGCTCCGGACCCTCCTTGGAACGTTCACCCAGGAAAAAATAGGTCCGGCAATCATGGGAAATGATGAACTTGATGGGATTATTATGGAATGATTAATGGGATTACGAAAAATTGTGGGATACATGGAAGGGAAGATATAGCCCTACCCGCAAGAATGGGAGATCGGCATGTTTTGCCACAAAAACTCTGCGGTTGGGTTCCATTCGCCCCAAGAAGCCACAGGCTTAGAGATCAAAACATCACGGCATGAGAAGCTGTACTGTAAAATAAGTCCGCAATACTGCCTGTTTTGGTCTGCTCAGAAGGCTCACGTTTCCAAGTATTCAATGGCTTTTGTGGGTACTACATGGTGCTAATAGCAGGCCTATTTACGCTCATCTATCACTTAAATAGGATTACAAAAAAGTGAGCAGAAGAGGACAAGTTCTACAGGTGGGGTGGATCTGGTCATACAAGTTCTTGTTTCAAGTAAGACAGAATTGTCATAAGTCCCTGGACGACGGGCGAAAGTTCGAACAACCCCGTCACAAACAGTTGACACAACAGCTGAAAGCAAAACACTGATTGGTGATTAAGCCAGCCCCTGAAAAAGAAGTTCGTGAATGTTGGAAGGAAAAGTATCCAAATATATCAAACCACCCAGATATTCACCGGTCATAGACCCATATCCCAAATGTTGCCGGGTTCATTCCCTATGTTTCATGGCGAAAACCCCAAAAGTTTGGCCAAAAAAAACCGAGCATCCTGCGGGGTCACCAAGGGAGGCGGCAGCCGTCCCAACGCTGAGCCCAGAAAGCGGTGACGCCAGTGGTTCCGCTCCTCCTCCGAGTGTCTCTTCGAGCGCCTGGGGATCCCAAGTCACCACAGGTGTCAAGACTAAAATGGTCTAGTGACTCGGATGATTTGGGGGGTACCTCCAGGAAAACCCCTGCAATGATATACTGATATACACTATCTAAATATATATTATATCATATTGTATCCTCATCACCACAATCTTCGTCAACATCCACATTGTTATCATCTCAAACATTGGCGATTCCAAAACATTGAACCAAGCGTCCAGTGGGCCGCTCGCGAGTAGAAGAGCAGGTCAGATGGTTTCCCATTGAGGTACCTTGGTTTTTCGCAGATGGGTTTGTCCAGGGTGCCCCCAACATCCAATGGTTTTACCCTCTGGTAATTTAACGTAGCTATTGAAAATGGCCATTAATAGTGGATTTTCCCATTAAAAATGGTGATTTTCCATAGCTATGTTAGTTTACCAGAGGGTATCATCATTTTCCCCATCCAAATTGTGGGTCCAAATTGGGGCCCAAAAAAATGACCCGAAAGATGGTCATTTTATCTCCCATTGAGGCGATGGTTTGCCAGGAACCATGGTGATTTTCCCATTCCTTTGAGGTTCCAGGGGGGAAAATGCGCATTGATCATGGGCCAAACATCACTTGGAGCCAGACAAGTCGGCATCACCAGATCTTTGAGCCCCTTTTCACCAGTCCAATTTGAAGATGTCCCCATTATTGTCGGTTCGTATCCAGTGTTTCTTGGCTCTACACAGAATATCCCCATACTTTCTTCGCCTTGCGGCCTTGCCTCTGTAGATCCTTTGTCACAAAGCATCATACTTCTGAGAAAGTAAATCAACATAGCTCCATTCCCAGCCCAATTTCCCCAGCCAAATTACATACATACGATCTCTAAAAAAACTGCATATCTATGATATCTCCCCAAGTTTCTGATGCCCCAGCCCCCTTCCCCGTTGCCTCGGCACGAACCACAACGGCGTCTGCCCCGCCGCCACCGTGACCCGTCGCTCCGGCTCCGCGCCCAGCTCGGCCGCCACGTCGGCGCCGCTGAAGGCGCAGCCCACCACCAGCAGGCGACCGCACGGCAAACAGCGGGGAGAACGGTAGGAGGAACTGTGGAGCACCGGGCCTTTGGGGGATGGGATGGAACTGAGTGGTGCATAGAGATGTATAGATGTACATGTCACATTGTGTATATATGTCTATGTGCATACATAAATATATATATGTATGTGTATATATATATATACATGTGTAGTATATATATATATATATGTAGTGTATATATATATGTGTAGTATATATATATAAATACTATATATATATAAACATATAATATATATACTATATGTATACATATACATAATACATAATATATATATATGTAGATATATATATATATACTATATATATACATATACATAATACATAATATATAATAATATATATGATAATATATATATATGATATATATATATATATATTATATTATGTATATATGTGTATACAATGTGGATATGCATGATTATGATTTAGACATGGAATGGTTGATGGCTGGTTGACAAAAGGTATCACTGCTGGCGGGCAAATGAACCAGCCAGCTAGCGGTGATGAACTGGCAAGATTTTTGCAGGGCAATCCGTCAAATGTATTCAAATGTAGCCTAAAACAATATGCAGATGGGCTAGAACCTAATATACCTTGAGGGGATTCTTCCAGATTTCAAATGGGATCTCAAAATCCTCAAAACCCAAAACAAAGGTCGCACCCAAAAATCCTGGCAAAGTACCAGTTATTTCTGCTGGAAGCTGACTTAGAAACCTGGCAATGGCACCCCCGGCAAAACCCCCGGCAGCGCCTGGAAACGTCTCCAGCCCAGGCAAGGACATGTTTGGTGTAGAGAATATACCTCGGCTTGTTGGGACGCTCAATTTTCCACCATGTTTATCCATGTTTCAGAATATAAATCAATAGCTTTGTAACGTTTTATGCCCCGAAATTCTCGCCTTGACTGATTTGGATATGCATTCATCATCTCCACTCTACTATCATTGTATCCATTTCTGCTCCCAGAATCCATCATCCATCATCCATCATCCATTCCATCCCATTCCAAGAATTGACCAAGAAAACGATGGCGCAATTATTCAGTTCCAAACAAAAAGAGCAATCACATCCCGATTTTTCCACATGTTTCCAAAAAAGATCCCCAAATGTTCAACTTATAAGTCATATATCATGATGCATTGTGACACATATATGATATATGATATATGTATATATGAATTATATATATATAATTATTATATTGTATACTAAACTTACGCGCAAACCCCCCGGTTCGCCCACACAACTTTTTAGGGGTTTCAAAGGATATTGATTCGAGGGAATCTTCAAGATGCTTCAAAAGAGTTTCTAGGGAATCATCAAATCCCCACCCCAGGTAAACCTTATATTCAAGAAAGTCTTAAAGATGTTTCAACAGAATTTCTAGTGAATCATCAAATCCCCACCCCCGTTAAACTTTATATTCAAGGGAAATTTCAAGGACTTTAGGGTTTAGGGTTTAGGGTCAATGATGTTGATGATGTTGATGATGTTGATGATGTTGATGATGTTGATGATGTTGATGATGTTGATGATGTTGATGATGTTGATGATGTTGATGATGTTGATGATGTTGATGATGTTGATGGTAATAATATGTAATAATACTGATGATGTTGTAACATTTAGCGCACAGGTTGCTAAGCTCTGCGTTGCAAGATGAAAGCCATGATTCCATGATCATGGACATGTGCATTTTCTCCTAGGGTTTGCCCATCAACTCCGTCAACTTACTAAACATGTTCCCCAGATGTTCCCCAGTCCCACCTGTGGCCACGATGACGAAGCTCGCCAGCAGCTCCTCCTGACCTTCCTCGGTCTCCACCCGCAGGCGCCAGGCGCCTTCGACGGGCTCCAGGGACGTCACGGTGCAGCCGCTGCAGACCTGGGTCCAGGGTTGGACCCGGGTTGGACCATGCTGGGGTACCCCTAAAAGGGAAAATCATTCGAAAATCATGGGGAAATCCACTATGAATGGAGGTTTTAATGGAAAGACATGGAACTAAATGGTGGAGTTCCATTGCTATGTTTGATTACCAGGTACCTTTCCGGAAGAGTTCTTAGTAACTAATCTCGCCCATTTAAAGGGCTGATGATTTTTTGGACCCACATAGCAACAGTTTAGTGGGTCAAACTTTCTCGGGACTGTTGGGAAACAGCTTGTCTGAATAAATTGTTGGTGAACTTTGGTATCAACCATATGAAATATGGGGATTTTGAACAGAACACATGGGAATTAATATGCAACAATATGCAACACCTACAAGTTGATTGTCTATTTGGATGCCAGTAATGAACTCTCGAGTCATGCAACTCTCCGTTCACAAGGGATTCACTTGCCGATCTCAAAAATTTTCACCAAACCCCTACGGGTCGGGTCGGTAGCGGTGACGAGTCAAACTACAGAAGATGTGGCGACGTGACACAAGCATCATAGGTGAGTATAATATAAGAGTCCTGCTGCGAAACCATTGAGAAATGCGTGATGATCGTGATGATGACCTCACCAATGATGAAATTGGAATAGGAAAGGGAGAGGCAATCGTCACAACATGTGACAACCAGTTGCTGCTGTCACCCCCAAGTTTCCTGGCAACCCCCTATCCCTCGACCTATCGTGAGTTGCTGCTTTGAAATTCCGAAATACCATCGTGTGAAGTGAAGCAAAGCGAAACCATAAAACCAACCAAAATGATAGTTGAAGAAATCAACTATGATAACTATGTGGTTTTGCTTTCCAAGGTAATTCAAGATGTAACTCCATTGGTTGGAAGCCTTATTTTTCCCCAGTGAAACCTCCAAATTCCAGGTGAAGTCCAAGCTTCGTGGGGCCAGAGCTGATGTCTTTCCGCATAGCCTGCCAGGTACCTTTGCACTTCTGTAGCCTTCGGGAAAACCGCAGAAAAGTCTTTGGGCCACGGGAAGTCCGAGAAGGCCACAGTGTACCTGGCGCTGGGTCGTTTTTGGGGGATTGAAGCACCAAAAGCGATAACATCGCTGGAGTCACGAACTTTAGCTGAAATATGTTCAAACTACAAATTTGTTTCTATGATGAAACATCAACCTTTACAACTGGACTCATAAGTTCACCATGTGTTCTGCCTGTTGGCAATGCCACAAAGGGTGACTTCACGATTTTGCGAACACGACAAAACATCGTCGTGAGTCACAACTGTCATAGCTGATCTACAGTAAATCTGAGGGCAATAAATTCCCATGTTTCACAACGGCTGTAGTTGCGATGAGTGGCTGCGATGTGCCTTGTCATAGCGTCATTGCGAGGGCGTCTTGCGCTAAATTTCCCTCTTTCAAAGCAGAAAACATGGAAATATCTCAAAAAGCCTCATTGCACCGCACCCAAACCTGAATCCAAGAAAATGAAACCATGGCAAAATGAGCATAATGAGCAAAAACAACTGATTGTGCTATTTCGTGTTTGGGGAAATCTTTTTTCAATGATACGGTGGCACCGCACCGCCGCACCCCTTTTCTGTACCTTCACCGACCGCACCCAGTGAACACAGCACACCCTTGAGGTTTCCAGTTCAATGCCCAGATGCTTCGAAAGATTCGTGCGAAGGGAATTCCACACCTCAAGATCTGCAGCCAGTATAGCCAGTATCAAGGATACGAGTATAGTTGACCATGCCCAAGGTCAACACAATATCCAAACATTTTCGTGAGTTCCATCTTCGGATCAGGTAAGCTGACCATCCAACATTGTGGGTAAACAACTTGCAGAGTTCAAATGGGTTGGTCCAATGATAAATTCAAATGAGTTATACAATACATATAGTACTTATTATATTCTGTTGTATTCCTATATATATATATTTACATACAGAGATGTAATACATTGCATGTATATCATAGTACACACACACACATTTCAAAGCATTCAAATAACTTACGGCATGATTAGAAGCAAACAACGGCCATGGGGGGGTCCGGAGCGGCCAAGACACTTTGCCCTCAACAGTCCAAAGACCACCCACTGCCTTCTGCCTCTCCAAGACCACGGGTTTCAACCCCTCCTGCAGTTCCAGTTTGCATTGGCCAGAAATATCATGGGCTGAAACTTCTGGGTCCCATATACACTGTGTATGATATGTATGATATGTAGACTGTATATATATATACTATACGTGTATATATATATATATACTATACGTGTATATATATATATATATCATATGTATATAAATATACTGTATGTATGTACATACGTATAATTACATATAGTATAAGCATGAATGTAAATGTATCTTATATGAATATACATTTGTACAAATCTCCTCCAAGGCCGCCTTGCATGCTGCTAAGCCTGAAGGCCCTGCACCCACGATCGCCACATCTGCCCGGGATCCAATGGAGGCCAGAGAGCGGCGTGCAAGGCGGGGCCACATGGGTTAGGTGGTTGCCTCAAGGTTCTGAAAAAAGAACATGTTAGCGATGTTGGATTGATATCTGTTCATTAACTTTAATGATAATTTTGATAAGTTTGGTTTGATATGATTTCGTATGAATTCGACAGAATGTGCACGCATTTGGAGCTTTGAACAGTCCAACATGCCTGCAAGGCATCATTTTGAGAAAGCTTTCTGTGAATACCATCATCAAAGGGCAAAAGTAGGTGTCACAATTATATATACCTTATATACATGGACGACCTTATCCTAGTTGGACCAATTTTAATCAGACCTCTATTCCTTTGTAAGAAACTCTACCTTGGTTCATCAACTGGCTGCTCCCCAAATTATAATATGGTACTAAAAATAAACAAAATATAAAATCAACAAAATATAATAAAATATAATAAAATATAATAAAATATAATAAAATGGTACCCAAAAAAATATTCAGCAGCCCAGGGTCTATTAATCGGGTGTTGACATTTAGTAGGGTGATGTGTAGTCCATGTTTTTCATGTGTCCATTGTGAAGGCAATGGAGTTGATGAGCTGCTGATGTTCACGTTGAACTGGAGCCGAAAAAATGATGCCCATGCTGTGGCTAACCTTACATACCTCAAAAATACCTCAAAAACCAAGAGTTAATTCTTGGTGAGATACTCTCATACTGTCTGTACTTTATTTTCCCACTCATCTCTTGCATTCTCTTGCCATGTAATTTACGTTGACCCATGACCAACACAAGATAACCCAAGCTAACCTCTGGTAAACTAACATAGCTATTGAAAATGGTGATTTATAGTGGACTTTCTCATTAAAAATGGTGATTTTCAATAGCTATGTTAGTTTACCAGAGGGTAATGCCATGGGTTTACCCAGTTTACCCACCCTTCAAAGCCGCCACGCTCCCGCCTCAGCATTTTGTCGTCGGTCCAAGGTCGCATCTTTGTGCGACGGACCTCCTACAAATGCGACACGCAATACGACGTGGCACAACCGTGTAGGTACCCCCAAGAAAGTACCAAAATTAGACCTTAGACCATTAAAAGTAACTAAGTATAGGCCTTAGACCGTTAAAAGTATATTTAGATTATTTCAGTACTGAAACCATCTAAGTTCTTGGCAAACCACATTACATCTTTGAGAAACAAAAAGAAAGAACCATAATCAACCATATTTATTTATCACTAAGAACAAAGGTTGACAGTGTTGGACCTTGTCCGACCAAGAGTCCTCAAAAAAATCGGAGGAAACCTGATGAAAAATCAAGAGAAAGACCAAGTGAGCCATTAAGAATACCATAGAATACCTCTATCCCATCTCATAAAATACTACTTGGTTGATAGGTTTCCCATTCTTATGGGTTAGTTCATAATCCCCACGAACCAGGTAGAAGAACTACTTACAATACCCAATCAACTACCGGGTAACCCATGGTAACCCCATCATCGGCAGGAAATGGTTGCGACTTCCATGGCCATCCCAGCCTTTGGACAAAATGGCATCAAAGGCATAGGTTTCCAGATCTTCCTCGGAAAAACGTGCGGCTATGGAAAAACACCATTTTTAAGGGCACCCTTAAAAATGGGATGGGAGGTGCTTTTTTATTGTGCCACAATCTATAGCTATTGATAGTTCTAGGGATCATAATCGATTTTGATGAAAAACGAGGCAGGATGAGGCGGTGACCATCGACCAGGGCGTGTTGGTCCAAGATTAATGCAACTTAATGGGTTCATTGAATGCTTAGTTTTATGTGGGGTGGTATGTTCATTGTCGTTCCTGCAACTGGGAGTTTGGCGGAACTAAGGATATAATATATAATATAATATGTATATACGCCGAGAGGCTGAGCGAAGTTGTTGCAGAAGTTCCTTCTTGAAGGTCAGATCGTCGCTACCTCCAGCAGTTGAAGGCAAGGCACCAAAAATATCCAGGGGCTTTGAAACATCCATTAGTTATATGGTTATATCCTATGAATAAGCCATGGCCCATAGGATTTACTATGAAAAATCCATTGGTTATATATTCCTTAATACAATACATATATAAAGATGAATAGCTCATGAATAATCAACTGTGATGTGACTACGAAACATGGGGATTGAATGGGTTATGAATATCTATGAATGGGATATGATTGAATGGGATATGAATTGGGAATACACCAACTTGAGATGACATTTGGGTCCTGAAAATTGGGGATTCACCCCAATTTATGGCCACTTTTATTTAGATGGGAACATGACCAACCATGGAATTTTGGGGTAAAACCCTCATATTCCAAACATGACTTTGTGAGTTGGGGCCAGGTAAGAAAGAAATTGCCTGGCCGGTTGATGCCGTCACAAAAGCTCGCAATGTTCCATGACTCTTCTCTGGTTCAATCCTAGTAGTTGTCCACAAACCCTGAAAGGAGTCGTTCTTGGACAACTACTAACTATCAGTGACTAGCTAAATCATAGCTAGTAAATGACAATATTATTTTCTAGTTAAATCATTAGTGATCATTAGTGATAACTGTTCCCCACATCATGGCTCACTAGGTGGCCATCCTAGCCCACCCTGGCTGCCCGGCACAAGAAGACACCACTGCACTTCAGTTTGCGGCAAAACCTGTGGACAGTGGACAGCACCAATCACCATACTTAGCATACGACCGATCGAAGAATGAAGAAGTCACGACCCTCCCACGATGTCCCACAGCAGACACCCTCAGAATTCTTCTTGTACGAGTAAGTTGCCATGAATTGTATCGCGCCCTAGCGGTAGATGAACCCACTGAGTGGTTATGGTTGTTCTGTAAATCTTGGAAATTCACAAAACGTAAATATTGGGGTCCACAAAAATCGGCTGATAAAACAGCTTCATCAACTTCGGACCAGTGACAACGTCTCATAACTGTTGGGTTCCAAACCAAACGCCAAGGCGAAAGACTAAAACAGTCTGGAGAATGGTCCCATACAGTCAACTGGTTTCAACCGCATATCATACATATAATTATACATACATACATATAATTATACATATGGGGATGGGTCAAAACCCTGGTACGTAGTGAACCCCAAAATAGCTGGTAAATGGATGTTCATCCCACTAAAAATGGTATTAATAGGTATTGATCCATAGCCATATATGTTTAATTAGGAATTTGAAATACAAAACCCAATGTTATTGGTCAGCTCCCCTTTCTTCCTTGCACGGAACTCGTTTTGGTTCTATCATATGACATCCCCCTTTTAGTTCCACTACATCCCCTCATATGATATTGTTTGCAGAGTTTCAACAGGAGTCCAAAACAATCCCAAAAAGCAGCCCAAATGGTGCTTGAAGGGTCCAAATATTTTGCTGAATGATTTCTAGAATATTTCCAGTATATCCTTTTTGTGTTTTTGTCAGCCTAAAGCCATTAGAATCCCATCTGGTGGGTTTCCTTCTCCAGCGCTGAGGCAAGCTGAGCAACACTTGGATTTGCTCCTGCAGCTCTATCAGAGACAAGTCGTTAGACCTGAGACTCTTGACAGTTCTGGGAACCAGTCGCATGGTTTTAGTGAGAAACACGACCAGTCGGAGTTCAACCAGAAAAAAGCAAGGCATGTAACTGGATTTCACTGGATTTGACTTGATTTCGTTTAGGTTGACTTAATTCATCGACCAACAAGACTGGGTCTATACCCAAGGACAGCATTATTAATATGATACATGTAATATAAATATAAATATAATATATAGTATATAGTATATAATATATAGTATATAATATATAATATATAATATATAATATATAATATGTAATATGTAATATATAATATATAATATACAATATACAATATATAATATATAATATAATATATAATATATAATATATAATATATAATATATAATATATAATATATAGTATATAATAATAATAAATAATAATAATAATAACAATAATAATAATATAGTATATAATAATATATAGTATAATATATATATAATAAGTAATATACAATGTATACTATATAACACATTATATATTATATTATATATATGTACATATTGTATTATATATAATATATTATATATTATATATTATATATTATGTATTATATATTATATATTATATATTATATATCATATATCATATATAATATTTTATATATAATATTTCATATATAATAGATAACATAATATATAATATGTAATATATACTATATATGACATATAATATATATGATATAATATATATGATATAATATATAATATAATATATAATATAATATAACATAAAATAATATAATATCATATTATATAAAATAACATTACATAATATAACATAACATAACATAATATAACATAATATAACATAATATAATATAATATAATACAATATATATACACATAATATACTGTATACACATTTACATTGGATACGGCCACGTATTGCCATGACCATCTTGGGGATGGAAAATAAGTGAAACCTCCAGCGGTACATTGCAAGAGTACTGTATCGGGCTTCCCGGGATCAATTCTACCACCTCGGTGCTTCTCAGGTGTTTCTATCGTTGTCTGCCTGCTTGTCTCTGAGTTATATGATGGTGAGTGGTAAAATAAATTGCTTCAATATCTTCAATCAACTGTAGCCTCATGTTAGTAATCATATCTCAATCTCATATCAATATCCGTTTTTGTGTGTCGTTTTTCGATGTTTTTCTGTGAGAGTTCCACCTTACCCAAGGTGGCAATCCACAACCAGCGAGCGCTGCCGACACGATCATTTTCTCACCAAATCCCGCCGCGTTTCGGCGTGGCGGTGAAACCGTTAAGGCCGTTAAGGCCCCTGGGAGCACAAGCGGGGCTACCTCACACCGTTAAGGCCCCTTGGGGGCCCGGTACTTGAAAAAAATCCCCTCTTGGTCTCGCAGAGTCATCTGAATGATCAGTTTGAATGGGTTGTTTTCTGCATCG